CGCTTTAAAAAGCGTGCGATGCCTAAATTAGGATTTTCGGGTTTTACAATTTGGCTAATTAATATCATGGTTATAATAAAAAGGACGAGCTCTTATATTGAGGATTATATAATAGAACATATAATTAAGCAATTTGGGTTCATACAATGGAGGACAGGAAATGCAGAAATAAATTGAGTACATTGAAATTATTATGAAGGAAAGAGAGAAACTAAACTAACATGACTAGAGAGGTTAGACCTTATTTTAATCAAGTAGGATTCATGAAGATGACCCCAATAGTTTGGATGATGTGCTACAAGAACGTTAGTAGGGTCTGTAGCTGTTCACATTGTTTTATGCTTCATGTTTATGTTTATTTTATGTCTTAATATGGATTGTGATAAACCTTAAGATCAGTTTCTTTTAAAGATTTTGATGTTATTTGAGTTTGGACATTTTATGTAACTGCTACCTAAAGTCCATGGATGTAACATAAGGCTTCTTAGGGTAATTATTGGAGAATAATGATTATTATGATTAATAAAATGGTGGACTAGCTGTCATATTGCCTCCCTTTGGGTCGGCTCACTCACTCTATTTTTTCTCTCATGTCATGAACACCATGATGCACTGACACTTCTCCTCAAAGAGGCATGCAGTGTCCAACACGTATCCAGCTTAACATGCGTCAGATACTCCTCGATTCGATACGTTTCGAACACGCCAAAAACATGTTCGATTTAAAAAATATTAAATGCAAATTAGACACACGTGTCTTATATTTTATGAATTATTTTAAATAAAAAATTTTTATTTAAAATTTTTATTTATTTAAAATATAAAATTAAATTTCTTATCCACAACATAAAATCAATCTCTCGCACAAAATATCCCATTCATCGAATATTCTCATTTTCATTTCTTTTTTCTTTCTTTTCATTTATCATTCAATATATATATATATATATATATATATATCAACTTAAACATAGAGGTTCAAAACATAAAAGGATGTCCATAAATCTTCCCTTACAAATCATCATGAATTCTTCTAACTCAAAATATCAAAAACCAAAAAGAATGAACCTGTCGCTCGTCGTCTCCCTACGACGGTACGTAAAGGGTGGTCTATCTGCCATTATCATTTATCATGTTCTCCTGAAAAATTTTCTATAAGTTGGATGAGTCACAACTCAGTAGATAAAATGTCATTCAATTAAATTTAGAGGCAAGGAAAGAGGTACAAAATGCATATACTTCTAAGTAAAGAAACATTCAACATGTCATAATATATTATCTAAAGTGAAAATGCCTCTAAGTCTATCTTTATGTTCTATTTTTTTGCATAAGCTTGCAATCCTTTCTCATTAAGCATTCATGATTCATTTGATGTCTCATATACATATAACATAATGACATGATATCATAATAATATAATATTAATCACCCGTCGCCGAAGTATCATTTGTACTGATCATGTACACTTTTAATTGATCATTCCTTTATCATTTAGTTTTAAAGAACCCTTTTACCATTTGTCTCAACAGAGCCTCTTTACCATTGATACTCCGCATCAAACATGCACATGCAAACATTCCTTATTTATTCATAAAAGAGGTTTTAGCATGTCATTCATGTGTATGATCTAATGTTCTCATATGATGATACATGTTTGCATAATTACATAAAAGAGAGATGATCATATATACTAACATGTAAAAGAAGGCATATGCATTACATGTAAAAGAAACATAAGATTTATACTTTCTACTATCATTACTTGAGAGATTTGCATTTGTATCATGTGTTTAAAAGCATTCATGTAAGAACATGCTAGCCATATATGAAATTACAAGTAGCATATAAAAGAAATAACATTTCTACATGATTGCATTTAGAGAACTTCCCAAATTTTAAAAAAAAAAATCATTTTACCTATCTCACCATGGTGTGATTTGCCAAATGTCCTAACGAACTCTTTCCTTTACACGATCAATATCTAAAAGAAACATAACATAATGTGTAAGCATCACTTGTTTCCACATAAACGTCTCAAAACTCTAAACTATGAGTATAAAGAACTCATTCATACACTATTCTTACACTTTCTAATTGAACCCTTTTCCCAATTCAAGATTAATCTCATTCCTATTTTTTTTAAATTGGGATTTAATCATTATCTTAACTTTTTGGGAACCTCCTTCATGCCCATTGCATAACACATGCATAAAGAACCTACCTTACACTTAAATATTAATTAAAATACAATAATTTTTGGATTAACCTAATTTAAAAATTAGAAAAATAACCTTTTGTGCAAAAGCTCTATTGCTTGCCTGTAAAAACCTTCCAAGTTTATTCGGAACCATGATACTTAAAAAATTTCATGATTTTGCAAAGCTCTAATTCTTGGAACTTGAAATTTAATCATGAAATTAAATTATCTTCTTATAGAAGCTTTCTAATGTCATTAGGAAACTTTCTTACAAAGTCATTTTGAAAGGATACAAAAATCAGAGAAAATCCTAATTTTTGAAATCTAAAATTTTTAAGAAATCATCTCATTTTTAATGCTTAGAGTCATCCCTAAACTTTCCCTATCATTATCATAAAGAGATTTGAAGTTTTCCTCAAACCCTAGATTTTTTTCTTGAGGAAACTCTAAGAAAAACCATGAGAAATTGCTTCTAAGAATTCACCTTACTCTTCCCTATGTTTTCCCTTCGATCTCCTTCACAAACCACCGCCGAAATGCCGCCACCGGAGCGGCCTTCCCTTGAACCCGTCCGCTATTCCCTCTTCCGCTCGGTTCGGCCGCACGAAGGAAATGGGGACCGAATGTATTTCGGTCCTCTAATAAGAGTGGGGGCATAGGGTTCAAAGCATAAAGTCTTAAATACCCCTTTTACATGCATTATTTCGTATTAATACTATTAAGGGTAGTTTTGTCATATAGAAACTTCTACGAATTTTAACTTCCAAAATACGTGGAATCCAATATGGGTTCTTTATACCAATTTGCTCAGAATTTTGCATACTATTTTATAAAATTTATTGCGTCGAATTTCGACGACTTTGAAATTTTGCCTAATTTCGTCGCGGCACATTGAAATGCGTGCGACTCTGATGATCGATATTTTTCGGGTATATATATATATATATATATAGTGTCTGTGTGGAGAGAGAGACAAAGAGGGAGGGAGAGTGCATATAATCTCTTGATAAGTAAACAAGGAGAGAAGAAAATAGATTGGTTAACAGAGTTTTAGAGAGGCTGGCAAGATTAAAGAAGAGGGGATATTTGGATGGCAAATTTTATAATGTTATGTATTTCGTTGGAATCATGCAATCCTCTCTTTAAGGAAATAAGTAGATGCCATTGCAATACATAACTCGTATTTTTTTTCATTGTGTTTCCTTTGTGGAGATTATTTGATTTTCTTGTCTCTATCGTAAATATTATTTTCTTGGGCATGAACTTTTTCTTACAAAACGCCTTGTGCTAGATCTAAATTATATTTAGCTCCTGAAATGTTCGAGCACATGAACAAGATATTCCAAATTGTCTCAAATTTGAAGTCATCAATGATGTTTTCCGGATAAGAAGAAAATAAGAAAAAAGAAATGAAACACTAGAGGAAGGGAACATAAAACATGAACAACTATGTTTTTATTGGCAAAGATCTTGTAGATATACATCATAGACACATTTATGATACAAAAATCCCTATGTTGCACCGATACACCTATTTATGAAGGCGTGTTGTATCCGATACACCGATATACGGACACGCCTCCGATACTCCACCGATACGTGTCGGATACACTAAAGACGTATCCAATTAAAATACTATTTAATTTCAAAAGGACACGCGTATCCGATACACGTGTCAGTTGAAAAACAAAAAGAAATCCGAAAAAAAAAAATGCGTCGTATTTACTTCCGCAGCTGCGACCAAAGTTCTCTCATTTCCTAGATGGATTTGAGTCTCTTGATGATATGAGAATATTAGAAATTACGAATCTTTCACTTGATGAGCCTGAATTAAAAGCTATGATATTTATTGAAGATGATATATAAGTTCAAAGACAAAGCACTGAAGAAGCTAATCATATCATTCCTTCTATTGAATAGTTGAAACTTTATGTGCTAGATAGTTTATGTTTATGATTTTGTTGTTGTACTAGACATTTAATGCTTACTTATATTTTGATATATAAGCTACAAGGCTACAAATGATGTTGTTGTCATTTTTTTTGTTATTTCAAATATTATGCTTTTATTGTTTTCTTAATTTTTATGTATGATTTATAAATTATGATGCCGTGTCCGCGCGTACCCGTATCCTGTATTTTTAAGAATTGACGTGTCCCGTATCCGTATCGTGTCGTATTCGTGTCGCCGTATCCGTATTGGTGCAACGTAGAAAAATCCACACCTCTACAAGAAAGATTATCATCTCCTTATCCAAGGTTTTGAATATTGTCAATGCTGCGTAGGATTTTCCACAATATGGCTTTAAATAGATTTGGATAGCACTTAAATGTATTAAATATTAAACATAAAAGAAATACATTATATGAACTAAAAAACAAATTTAACCTTAACTATTGATGATTTATAGTATACTCTTGGCACGTCATATTTCAGTCACTATGACCATGCAGTATGATTGCAATAATGTTAAATGTAAGGTACATGGGATTTTTGGTCATCTCCATCTCTTTCCATGTGTAGTCCTTGAATTCACAATCACCCAGTGAGTAAAAACTTTTACTTGTTGGTCAGTATGAGCCAAACTGCAATTCTAGTCATACATGCTATTTGAAAAGCCTATGCGAGTACTCCAATCAAATTGTAAGTTCCTATGACAAGTGTTTCTAAAGTTCTGAAAGATCATATCCAAGTTCAATTTGATTTTTTTTTAATAATTTGTGGAGTAATTTATTGCTCATGCATGGCTTCATGTTTTTTCTGGATTGCTTGGTCGACACCATGGTTTATTTCTTGTAATTAGGTTCTAGAAGCCCTCAAAGATTCAACTTCTACTAGGCCTGCTATTTTCCCCATGTCAAATCCCACAAAAAATGGTATGTTCTACCTATGATTGTATTTGGTTCCGCTGAATTATCTATTTATTATGTTTTCTGGATACCCTTTTGGTAGCTGAATGCACACCTGAAGAGGCATTTTCAATTTTGGGTGAACAAATTATATTTGCCAGTGGGAGCCCTTTCAAAGATGTGGACCTTGGTATGACTTTTAAATTCCTTGGGCTTTTAGCATGATATATTGATTTTGCAAGTATGTTCCTTCAAGAAGGAAATTTTGGTATCCTGTGTTGCTAAATTTGAAAGTTCGGACATCCAAACCCCTGAAAACGATAGATTGTTATTGCAGCAATTCTTAAGTAAAAAAGCTTAAGCCAGTTTCTTTTATATTGCATATCTCATCTACTGCAAGTGTTGGACTGCAATAAAAACTCATCATAATTATCAACAACAATCTTATTATGTGGGTTTGGGTGTTTTATTCACCAAATTTTTCTCCATTTTTACTGTTGGATCTCTATCAAGCCTACTCTAACAAAATTTCTAAGGCCATTTTATCTTAGGCTTCCCGTTTTCTGCTTCTGGACTTTTTTGATCTTGATTATAATTCCTGGTTCTTTATTTTTACTTATTCTTTCTCTTCTCTTTATTCTACATACACAACCATCTTAATCCATCTTTTCATACTTTATTCTTGACTTGCTTTGATCTATATATTTTATGTTAACATATAGAAAATATTTTATAGTAAGTTAAAATTTAATAATGTCATTAATTAATTGAATTTAAGTGGTATTATATCATGAAGCTATCACCCAATAAATGAGACCGAAAAGCTACGTCGTGTGGTGCAGGAAGACACTAGACTTTTAAAGATTATATTCCATAAATTATTAATAGTGTCCAGGAAGCCCTATGAAGTGAACAATCTATTGATGTTCTTGCAAACTGAGTAATATTTCTCTTCATATTTCATTATAGGATTTATTTTCCATTCATCTATTATGGATTTCTTTTGAAAATGCTTTTGTTTTTTTTGGATGGATTTCCCATTTGATGAGTTTTGCCTGCTCAACAATAGAATAATTGACTCCCATTTTTTTTATGTAGGACTACGTATGAATGCAATGAGTTTGTTAAGAAATCGCACAACTTTTGATTAGAACAACAGTGAAGAAAACTATTAGCAATTTAAAACAACGAGATAAAACGTAAACGGGTCACACCGGCTTAGGCTAAGTCACATAACCAGAGATTTGAAACTTTCAAAATAAATTAGAAAACAACACCATGCCTGAATAGTAGTTTCAAGAAAAATCCCTAATCTAACAATAAGGATTAGTAAGCTAAGAAGTTCACTTAAATCCCTACGTTTACTAAGCTTTAGCAGAAGTAGGAAGAGGCGTCCTTCGTGACTACAATCAAACCACGAGAAAAGTTAGATTCAAGAAATAAATAAAAGAAAAGGGGGGCGTAGGAAACCTTCGTCAAGGATCGGCAGCGATCCTCCACTCGACAATCTTCAATTGCTCTTCGATGGCTTCCACTAAGGTATCCAGGATTCGCTCGATGTAATCTTCTACCGTGTGGTCGATCCTCGGGTTGACGTCGAAGAAAGTTGAATGTAAGATGCACACAAATCCGTGCTCGTCGTAGGAGAGGCCGTATTCAGTTTCTGGGTCTGCCATTCATAGATGCTAGATGACAATGTCTTCCAAGGATTGCTCGTACTCTTCAATATTGTAGAGGAGAAAGAAGTTTCTCTTGTAGAGGAGAAAGAAGTTTCTCGTCGACAGGAAGTAGGGAAGAGACAAGGATCAAGTTCCTTGCAAAATTTGAATTAAATTTCAGATTTTTGAATTCACAGGATGGGAAATCAAGAGGGAAAATTCAATCCCAAAATTCCGGTGGAGAATTAAGTAGGGAGAGGGAGATTGGAGAGAGAGAGAGAGGCGGCGGGTAGAGAGAGGGGGCCTGCGGCATCATGGGGGAATTGAGGGATTTATTTTCCTAAATCAAATATTTGATTTTAGGAAACAAATTAGGAGCAAGGGATATCATAAAATTCGGCCAAAGGAGGTGGGATGGGATTGGAAATTGTTTCCAAGAGGGATTAAGGGTTTTAGGAAATAAATCCTAAATTTTCCTATAAGGGAGCCAGCAGCATCAAGGCAAGGGGAAGCATTTAATAGGATGAATTATGGCTTCTTAATTTAGGTTTTGGAATTAGGAAAGATTTATTTTAAATCCAATTGTGATGTGAAACAAAATCCATGCGAAAGTGATTTGCTTAAAGAAGTTTGCACGCTTAGATTTAGAGGCAATAATAAGCAAGATCTTATGCGGGATTGAACGATAAAATAAATATTAAAAGGCACTTAGCTTTGGTTAAATCACATGAATAAAAGTTAAGTTCAAAAAAAGATAGCCAACTTAATCCGACATTGCATACATGGATCGTTCCAACAATAAATTCCAATACTAACAATGAGATTAGCCGCTATGAGAAGATCCCTCACACAACTCTTCCTATTACTAGGTTATAGCGGCGAATAATTGACATGATCTTCATGAATCCATTAATAACCATAAACGAAGAATAAACTAGGAAGATAAGAGTGTTAGGGAAAGAGTTTCACCCAAGGAATGAAGTAATACGACGTTCCGGTGGTGCTTTTGTTGGTTGGATCGGAAGTATGTGGTGCTTGACAGCTTCTTGGATGACTTGCAAATATGGGTCTTCAAATCAGCAATTCACTTAGCCTCAATAGTCTGGACAGCAACCTGGAATAGCTAGGGAATTCTGGATGGCCATGGAAACCTTTTGGTTGAGAGATAATGTGTAGATATGCATGCAGAAATCTGTGAACAGCAATCTGGCCTTCAAGGAGCAGCAGTTTTGCAGAGGTATTGGGCCAGAATTCAATGATGAAGACGTCTCAAACTTCTGGACAGCAGGATCACTCCAGGACAGCAGGATCACTTCAGAAGGAACTCTGTTTTCAGCCTTCCTCTGGTGCAGGACAGCAAACAGACATTTGGGGGAGAGGGGGAAACAGTCTCAGATTTCCAATAAAATTCTGAAGGGAATTTTCAGATCTCGGTGGACTAGATTGTAGAGAAATTGGAGGAAGTAATCTAGCAGTAATGGTGGAGAGAAAGCTGAGATTAAATTCCCACTCAAGGCCCTTGAATTGGGGAGCTATCTAGAGTGAATAGGAGAGGGTAGGAAAAGGGGGGGGGGGGGGGGGGCGGCGGCTAGAGGAGGGTGGCAAGGGGTTGGCCACGGTGTGGAGATTGGTGGCCGGCGGTCTGGGCGGATTAGAGGGGAGGCGGCGGCAAGGCCGGCGGGGGGATAAGGAGAATTGGGATGGTGGAGGTAGACCACGAGCCACGGACTCTTCCAATGGCTGGCGGGTATTGCTTTTGCCCTCACCTTGGGCTTTCCCTAGAACTCACACAGAGATCTAGAAGAAACAAACTCACTAAGAGATCTTCAAGAGGGAACTCACAAAGAGAACACAAGAGAAAAAATTTTCATTTCATAATCATCATCCCCTTTCCAAGAGGAGGGGGAGGGCTTAAATAGCCAAATACATGAGGGAAAATAAAAAAGACACAATTGCCCCTAGGGCAAACATAAAACAAAGCCCTCAAGTGAGGGTAGAAATGGAAAAGTACAAATAACAAATAAAATACATGAAAATAAATAGACACGATCGTAGCCGTTGATCTTCGATGTCCACATCAAATTGAATTTGAAATTCAAAATAGATTTAAAGTAAATACTTTCCTAAAATAGGATAATTAAATTAGGAAAGATTTTGAATTCAAATTCAAATGATTTGAATTTCAAAATTATCATAAATTAATCCTCAACCCAATTAGGAAACTCAAGGGAGAAGGGGAATTGGTGAGACCGGCGGCTACAGAGCTAGGGCCGGCGGGTTTGGGGGAGGGAAGGGGAAGGGGAAGGGCTTGGGGAATTTGGATGGTGGGGAGGTGAAGGGAGACTAGGTGGCCGACGGCAAGGATTGGGAGGGCCTTGGCCGGCGGCTAAGAGGTGGAATATGGGGTTGATAAAAAAAACGAAGATAAGAAACCACAAACTCGACCGTCTCCAAGGTTGGTGGGTGTTGTGCTTCTCTCTCCAAACCTCTCTCGCTCTTGCAAGAAATCAAAACGTAGAAAAATTTTTCATTCAATCATTCATTACCCTCAAACAACAAAACAAGGGGCTATAAATAGCCTAGTACATGAGACTCAAGAAATATAAAGACGAAAATGCCCTCGGGGCTTACATACGACATCCCTTTACTAGAAGGGTACAACGGGAAATAAAAATAACATAAAATAAACAAAATACAACGCACATAATTAAAACAATACACAACATAAATCAAAAGTACAATGACTCGATCATGGTCGCAGATCGGCGGCCACACCTCTGATAAACCTTCCAAGATCTGATGTCCCCATCATTTTTCCTTCAACAACACTTCAATTTCCATAGTGAAGTTTCTTTCAACCCTAGAGCCAGGATGCTAGATAGGATGCCTAATCATAAATGTCATTCATAGTGTTCTTGACTAAGTTAATGCCAAGGCATGTTTAATGTTATGTTTGACTTAGTTGTCTTTAAGCTAAGTATTAGTGGTGAAAGTGTCATTTCTTATTTATGCTACTTTGATACTCTTTTTTAATTTAATCAAGTGTAGTTGAACTTTTTGAATAAGGCCTATTATAATAAATAGTATGCAATTCAAATAGAGATGAATTAAATGTTTTGAGCTATAGTTTGATGGGGTTTCATCCCATTTATGGATGTTTGAGGATGTGCATCTCCTTCATATTTTTGAGGAATCGATAACGCAATATTTTGAGGAATCAACATTAAGAAGTCGATATTTCATTTTGTATATTTATTTTCTCTTCCATTCTCTCTTCTCCTAAATCCTTATTTTTCTACAGTTTTGTCGTTTTTGTTGCTACATTAGGTGGATAGAATCACTCTTCAAGCATTGGGAAGGAAAAATGTTGGATCACAAGTTGATTAAGTAAAATTAAAATTTTAAAATATACTTGCATTGTTTCTATATGTACAACTGAAGTTAAAAAATGCACTCATTAGATTAGTAGATTAAATTAGTGTCAGGATTAGGTAGGAGATGTGATGTCTGAAGATTAAGATTTTAGAGTTAATATTGCAGCTTAGGATGAGAAGCACGTTGAAAATACACAACAATATCATCCATATGAGTTTTTTTATTTATTTTTTTTTTTCATGCCTCATTGGCTTTATTTATAGCCCATAAAAGACCCAAAATAAAAAAATTTCTAGAATTTGTCTAGACCTAGTCAAATATTGTAGGTTCAATGTACCCCCTTTATGAATTCCAACATCCTCCAAACTTGCATAGCTTTATTTTTGAAGTCCAATTCTCAGGGTCCCTCATGACATTATAAAAAAGATGGTTAAAACAACAACAGAAGCTCAAACTCACAAGAGACAGGTGGTAGCAATGGGATTAGCGGGATAGAAAAGGCGGCATGATGCAGACAACTAGATAGAAAGAGCTAAAAGGGGAGAACATCATGACTAGTAGAACTTTTCTCGATTCAGAATTTAGAAATCTAACATCAAATAAACTTCCAAACAAACGAAAGCCAAACAAATGAAAACTAAATTAAAAATAAAAATAGCTACCCTTAGAACAACCGATAAGCGGTCACCTCACATGCAACAAAATAGTAGGTAATATAAAAGATGTGCTTAAGGACATGCAAACCAAGGGACCACCACAGCTACTTGGGCCAACGTCCACCACAAACTCCTCCGGCAAATGCTACCAAACCGGCCAATCAACACCTCCAATAGCTCGAGAAGAAAGATACAAGTGAAGTGGAACTTGCGTAGAGAAGAAAGAGATAAGAAGCTCAAGACAAAATCATAGAGAGGATGAGAGAAATGGAACAAGCTTGCAAACTTTCCCAAGAAGAAACCCTCAGGTTTTAGAGAAATTTGCTCAGCAAACAGCAACATTCAAATGCCTCAAAACACCACATATATATAGGAGAAAAGAGGTAGCTAAACAGTCCAAAACACCTCCAGCCGAACCAATCATGAAAGGGGAAACAGCAGGCCAGCAGGCGCTCCAGGAGCAGCACCCGAAGAGGCTTCACAGGGATAGGAAAAGGCAGCCATGGGGTACAGGAAAAGCCAACCACGGGGTACAGGAAAAGCCAGCCACGGGACAGGAGCCAGCGGAGGAATCGAAAGGCCAACAGAGAGGGGGAAAGAACCAAGTCCACTCCACATAATGAGCTTAAAAGGAGGTGAACTACAAGTAGTAATGAGCTGAAAAAGAAGCAGCAGCTTAGCATTAATGAGCTGGAGCATAGCAGCTCCCAACAAAATAGCAAAAACCGAACAGCCAAGCCCAAACCGAAAGCCAACATCAGCCCCAAGAGACAAGGCACCAAAGTAGCTAGCTCTCCCAAAGTATGACAAGCTCATAGAACTACCTACTCATGAACATTGGTTGCCTTCCATCATAAGGTATCATAAAATAAATCAAAAATAACTATAGCATTCAAATTACAATAAAAAGCTAAAACAAATTTTGAAATTTGCATACATCACGGCACCATAGTTGTAGCAGGAAACAATGGTGTGGGTAACTGAGACTTCTTTAGTTGACTAGTTGTATAATAGCTGCATGTTTACTGCGCTGGCGGTTATAATACGGTGTGGTTTCTTCCATTTCTATTATATGTAGAGCTTAGACACCAGTGCAACAGTATCTTGGATGGGTGAATTTTTTTCTTCAGTTTTAGAAGTTTCTTTCAATCATTGGCAGTTTTATTTGTACTGGAGGGCAGTTATAGGGTGCGTTTGGAACGGTTGTAGTTGTCAGTAAAACAGGTTGTGAAATTGTTGTATAGAAAGCTGCTTTCCAAAGTTGTTGTATAGAAATAAGTATATTTTCTTTGGGTAGTATTAATGTGGCGTATTTTTTTAGATTTCCGGCTTGGTCTGCAGAAAGTACAACTTTCATTGGTTCCGGAGTTGACTTTCATCACATTGTATAAAAAATTATTTTATTATAAAGATTGATTTTCACATCCACTCGTGTACTGATGCAGGAAATGGTAAGATTGGGCATTGCAACCAGGGAAATAATATGTACCTCTTCCCTGGGTAAGTGGTTTTGCCTCTTAGGTTTCGTTTGGGGCGGCTTTCTTACTACTTAAAACAGCTTTTTAGTACAAAAATTAAATTTTTTATAATAGAAAGTTGCTTTAAGAAACAATAAGAAAGCCGTCGCAAACGAACCCTTACTCAATTATTGCTAAAAGCTTTCTTATTGTGGTTATAATGGTTTTCATCAATACAGCATTGGCCTTGGTACACTCTTATCAGGTGCGCGTGTCATATCAGATGGCATGCTTCAAGCCGCTGCTGAATGGTGATCGTTGTCCACTCATTCTTCACTTGTATTGTTATTTTCTTTGATTGTTCTCATACATTTCTTCTTCCATTCTGAACCCAGCCTTGCTGCATATATGAAAGAAGAGGACGTTCTTAATGGAATCATATATCCGCCAATATCCAGGTCCTATTGTGCAGTTTTCGGAACATGCATATCCCCCTTTCCCCTCATATATAATGATTTGGAATTCTCCGAAGTTCCAACACGTTATTATATGAAGATTTTGGAGCTTAGAGCCAAATTCTAAGCTATCTCTTTCATTCATTTGAGACACAAAGATTAACGAATGAATATCCTTCTTAAACTTAGGATTCTAATCCTAGCCTATCTCACTTGCAAGTTACAAATAAATTGTTCTTATGCTCTTTCTTTTAAAAAAGCATCAACATTTTACCTATCCGAGAACTTCTTAATGCAGCATACGTGAGATAACACAAGAAGTGGCCACTGCGGTAATCAGGGAAGCAGTGGCACAGTATCTAGCAGAAGGACGCCCAGGCATGGATACTAGGGACCTCGAGAGACTTGATAAGGTTGTCTCGCATCTTATATAGCATCTTTATTTTAAATGAAGACCTATTACAATTGTGAAGTTTTACATTTTGTATTATAAAATTTAAGGAGGAGACTCGGAAGTATGTGAAAAAGAACATGTGGAAAGCAGACTATCCAACCTTGGTTTACGAGACAGTCTGAAAGTGGACATTTCAGTGTAAAGTCCCAAACAAACAAATTCATTTTAGGCAAATTGATGTTTTCATATATTTCTATTTCATTTTGTTATGATGGGATGACACCATAGCGGTAAGATTTTGATTTCGTTTGAGACGGCTTTCTTTTTGCTTCTTAAAGTATTTTTTTAGTATAAAAATTTGTGTACTAAAAAGCTACTTTAAGAAGCAAAAAAAAAGCCGTCCCAAATGAAGCCTTTGTCTCGTTGGCTATTAATTTTACTAGAAATCTGCTTAAATTGCTCTTGATTATACCTAATTAAAACCAGATATTTCCATTTTCTTCTTAGGTTGCTCCATGTTCTTGTTGTGAGGAGTTCGCCTGGCACACTACGGCCATCGCCCTCCCGAGTGTCAATAACGCTTGTTTGAATAAGCAGGACTTTGCCCTCCGTAATTATAACGCTTGAAGTGTCAAGGAAAATGTATGTCGAGGTGAGATGAGCATTACATATTAAGAGAAGCTCAACTTTAGCTCTGCATCTTCAACGTTCTTGTGTTTGCCAAGCTTGTGCTTAAGTATGTGTTTGTGTTGGGACATATTTTGCGTGGTTTCTGTGTATAATATTGATTTTCTGGCTAAATCTATAGGACCGTTTTGAATCACTTCTATTTTAAAGAAATATAAATTTGGTTGATGTTGTATTTAATTGCTTTAAAAAAATCAAGTTATTTTTAAAAATGCTCAAAAATAACTTTTGAGTGTTTTAAAAATAATTATCATTGTTAACTACGGCTAGCGATCGCTGTTGGCCTATGCCCGCCACCACCGATGACAAGTGCTTCTATGGTAAATATTTTGAGGTAGGGGTATTAGTTAGTCAAGCTAACTTGTGAGCCAGCTCGATAAATTGACTCTTGAGCTAACGAGTCAAGTCTGAGTCAATCCTGATTTGATTGGTGAGCTTGCAAGCAAACTTATTTAAAAAATATTAATATAAATTTTATTTAAAATATATTAGCATTTAGAAATTCAAATACAAATTTGTTTAAATTGATTAAAAATATATATATTCGGCTTTCTTATATTAAGTCTTTTTTTCTCATTATTTTATTATTTTATTATAATAGTTATTTTAATCATAATTAATTTTTTCTCATTCACAATAAATAAGTTGGCTCGTGACCCAGCTCAAATGCATAAAATATAGCTCAAGTTTCAACTAAGTTTGAACTTAATTAATTAATCAAGCTCAAAGGGTGACATTTATATTTGCATATTATCATACTGGAATAGTAATGGTAGGGTACGTACACACATGGAATCTGCGATACAAACATAAATTTCGACATTATTGTTATAAATTTATAATTATTTCATTGCGAAATATTCATCGATGATAATAAAATATAGTTATCAATAAATGAATCTGCAAAAAAAATTTTGCCCCAATATTGGATTTGCCCATGATAGTAGAATCATATTCGTAGACCCTACAACAACAACAACATTATCATCATCAAGCCTTTATCCCACTACATGGGGTCGGCTACATGAATCTTTTTTGTCCATTATGTCTTATTAAAAGTTAAATTCTCATTTAAATCTAATAAAGAAAGGTAATTCCTAATATTTTCTAATCAAGTCTTTTTAGTTCTACCCCTATATTTCTTAACAGAAGTCAAATCTAATACCTCTACTGTCCTAACCGAGTCATCGGAAGGCCGCCTTTTTATGTGACCAAATCATCTAAGGCGACTCTCTAATCTTATCTTCTACTGGAGCTACTCCAACATATTTATATTAAGCATGCGGTTATAAATTTGATATAATAGGCATTAAATTTAAGAATTTTCATAAATTTTTGTTTAAAAATTAGATTAGCTCAAAAAGACGGAAATTTGATTTCATATTGTTGAAATTTTATTTTGGATTAAAATACACTATATTTTTATAAATAGGCACCAAAACTGTTATTGAACTACTACATTATGTTTCAATTATAGAAACTTCTCAATACTTCCTCTTCCCAGCAAAACATAAGTAGTTCTTGTACATATAATTCAATGAGTATTTTGCATCTTAATTGCACTATAACATATCATATACATATCTTCAAAGAAAATTCTTTCACAAGTTATATTTGATCCTACACAATTTTGATATGTAGAATTATTTCACAATAATGTGGATCTATAGTTTCATAAAAAAAATTATCATGATCTATTATTTTATTAATCCAATATGCAATGTTTATCTCTATTGTAAATATTTATTTTTTAATTGGTCAATTTCTATTCAGGCCTGTTGTGATATAGCTCTTGAATTGTTCTTTAATATACTATAATTGTTGTGCTTTATACTATGTTGTGTTATGATTGTTAACTTGCTCTCCAATGTATTAGGACTATTGGATTACATTCGATCTTAGCAACCATATAATATATTGTGCTTTAAGTGTTGTAATTACACCCATTATGTTGGATCAACCTTGTAGTTTATTATTTTAAAGCTACTAGAGGCAATATATTGTATTTGCTTTGAGTAAACCAAGTTTGACCCTTGCATGGACCTTGTTTGAATAGGATTTCATCATTGTTTTAAGTCAATTCAACCTTTATTCACATCATATTTGAATTATGTTTAACCCTTGTTCGAAAAAGGTTTGGCTAGAGTTTAAACCTTATTTCAACAAGGTTCATATTTCATTCGAAAATGAATAATCTTTCTAGAATTTGATTTCAATTATGTTCAAATAAGATTCAAACTTAATCTAAATCTTGGTCGAATATAATTCCAATATTATTCTAACATTGTTCGAACTTATGTTATTCAGTATAGGCTATAGATAATATAATAACTTAAATATGTGAAATAAATTTTCTTGAAAAAATATGAAAATTCTGAATAGAGTGCTTTGACACTAATATGATGAACCGTTTTGGTGGCACTAGGCCATGATATTATATATATTATAATATAATATATATATATATATATATATATATATATATATATATAATATAATATATAGTATATATATATATAATATATATATATATAATGTATGTATGTACTATCCCCATCGGACTTCTTCACTGGTTGTTTTGGCCCGAAAGAAATTGAAAATGAGAAGAAGAGAGGACGAGAGAAAAATCTTTGGAAACATATTTGTTATCATTCATGTAACTATTTTATTTTTTTTCGTTGTAAATGATTAATCTCTTACTTCTGTTTTTTAATGAAATTTTGATTTTCTACAAATCTATCAAAAATATTGTTAAAATCCTTTAAAACAGCTTGATTTTTTTTGTGCTGTTAGTCCACGTTCACGATCTGACTTTACTACTGACGAAACTGAAGAAATTTGAAGAAATCTTTGCCATTTTCGTCTGTACGAACCTGGAGCAAAGTCGGGACGAATCCGTCTTGTACGAAACTGTCCAGAGAGCATGGTCGCCCGGACGAATTGGATTTCGTCTGTACGAAATTTGCCCAGATAACCCATCGTTACCAGGACGAAATTTGGATCGTCCAGGACGCATCATGTTCTAATAAATATGCGATTTGAGATATTTTGGATTCATTTTGGAGAGAGAGGTGAAGGCAAGAGAAGAAAGAGAAGGAAGAGAAGAGGAAGCTTGGTTTGAGCCACGCGGAGCGCTTTTCGTTTTTTTCGACGACGCTGTTAGAAGATTTGTTTGTCGTGTAAGGACTCCGACCCTATTTCTGTTTTCGGAAATTTTGTATTTGATTCGATTGTCACTGTTTTGGTGTTTTTGTAAGTCGAACTTTTGACCTGATTTTTGTATTGACCGAACTTTCACCGCACAACTTTAGTATTGTTATAGATATGGAATATTGTACAAAACCGATTTGAGTATTTTCTGCTGATTGATTTTACCGGTCGGAATTGTTCTACGCGATTTTAATTGAATAGAAAATATCAGGACGTGATTGATTTGGGAATTCTATAGAATAATAGCTCTTATATTAATGTCGTGAATTTCTACTTGTTAATTGGAAGAATTTGGAACTTGTGCCTTTTTGTAGGATTTTTGTGTAAATTTGACGACTAGTCGTTACTCTGCCCGATTCTTCGTTACGATTTCTGATTTTCCCTAAATTGATAGATTAGATGATATTGACCTGTACAGGATGGTGGGCGACGGCTTTCCTTAAAACCATTGATTATGATATTAACGATGGGGAGTCATAAGGAGATTTATATGCCGGACAGGAGCGCCGACGGGCAAAAGAGAGTGACGACTTCTATTGATAAACACAATGTATGATATCTACAACAGCAATTATGGATTCTTACAACAGCAACAATAGCCAGTTGATTGTTTTTTTTTTTTTTTTTTTTTTTTTTTCTACTTGTCCAGTATATAGTATTGAATTGCATGTTTACTGTATTGATTTAGGATTCATTATTTATACGATTCCTGGCCTTTATCGACTATTGATTGGTTTTACTAGATCGTACGATTTCATTGATTTCACTGAATTGATTGCTGTGCATCGACACTGAGCCCATTGATATAGAAATGGATGGATATATATATTGTATTGATAGCATGACATGGACATCGTAACACTGCCTACTGTTTCTGTACCGTATTGAACTGTCGTATAGATTCATTGTTCCGTATTGCTATTTCTCGACTGATTCATTGATTTACCTATTTGATTTGATTCGGATATTGATTGATTGAAAATTGAAATGATTGATTGCCTGCCGCTCATTGACTGGTTTTATTGACTATTTGATTTCGGATTGCATCGATACTGATTTGATTTCCACTGCATAAGACTCATTGACATTGACTGATTCAGATTGATAGATTGACCATGCAATATTGATAAGCATCCCGTGCTTTTGATTTCAAGTTGTAGGCTTTGGTGACCTGCTGGGCTTATTGTAGCCATTATATGTGGGTTTAAAATTTCAGGTCGATCAAGGCAACTGGAATGGAAGTTTACGACAGAATTCAGACGAATCCTTTCACTATGGATGCCTGGGCGTCAAACAAATATATTATATCTTAATTTCATAAGCTTTCACCATGCAAGTTTGGATATATTATAAATTTGATCATTATGAATGATTTGATATGATTTTATGTATTTAAATGAATACTAAAGTGTACAGATATATTAAATTGATAACTCCATGTGATACCTACTAATCCATATGATTCACTGATTGAGAGTCATAAAGTAGATGTAAATTGATTGAGAGTTATAATGAGTCAAGGCGACTATTCACATTATTCAAAGGGAGTTATAAGGAGAACATTGTTTGGAGTTTATAAGGGCAACTGATTAAGAGTCATAATGCAGGAGAAGAATACACTCATTCAATATATGAATACTTATAATAACACTGCTACGAACATTATATTGATAATATGGATTACACCAATATTATTTAAGTCATTAGACTATTTAACATTACTAAATCAGATATAATATTTTATACAATTATATTGTTGATGTTATCATACTGGATTAATGAATTTATGGGTTGAAGATGTGATTAAACTATAGAAGAAATAAATTAATACGATATCAGTATAACATTGATGCATATATTTATTTATATGATATTATCCTTTTTATATTGTAATTGATTTTAGTTGTAAAATTTTAGTTATTTATTGATCTCACATATTTTCAAGAAAAAATAAAATCTATGATATGAGTTTCCGGACAAGACAAAAAAATATCATATTTTTTTATTGTTTATTGTAAGCTCTAGTTAAATAGTTAAAATAGGAAGGATATGTGTAATCTTCTAATATAGATCTTGAAACGTGACAGATAAATAGTTTAGAATAAAAAGCTAAAATATTTTAATCTAAGATAAATTTTGAATATATTTTTAAAAAAGAGAAATAATAAATATATTTTTGGAATAAAAACTAAAATTATCAAAAAAAATTTATATATATATATACTTTTTCTTTTTTTTTTTTGAAGGATAAAAATTTAAACATCACCGACCAGGGCATTCCCCGCACGCGCCGCCCCGACCCGACCCGACCGTCGCTTTTAAGAGCATCCTGCGTGCATCGGCTGCAGAAGAAGGGTATAATGGGATTTAAGAAAACGTGAATTTGAGGGGAGAAACTGAGGGACTCACTTGTTTTCCGCTTGTAGATCGATCTATCACTGTATTCCTACTTTTTTTCTTTCTTTCATCACTGAATTCCTACTTTTTTCTGGGATCGACCCTCGGTTAGGGTTTCAAAGATGACGACCATGGAGAGCTTGATCGGCATGGTCAATAGGATTCAGAGAGCGTGCACTGTTCTGGGGGACCACGGCGGCGCCGACAGTGCATTGCCTACTCTCTGGGAGGCGCTTCCGTCCGTGGCCGTCGTCGGTGGACAGGTTCCCCCTCGTCTATCATTTTCTCTTTTTCTCTCTCTTGGATTTCTTCAGATCTGTTTGTTGGATATTTGTGCTTTTGTGGTCGACTAACATGAATTTTCGTGCGGATGTGGTAAAGAGCTCGGGAAAATCGTCGGTACTGGAGAGCATCGTTGGGCGAGATTTTCTTCCCCGTGGATCTGGTTAGATCGGCGCTTAATTACTGCATTTTGTGATTTTTCCTTTTTTGAATCTCTGCTTAACTGTTCTTTTAGCAAGGTTGGGGTAATAAGTTATTTTGTTTGCTTTTGTTGTATTTAGGGATTGTAACAAGGCGACCATTGGTGCTTCAGCTGCACAAGACGGAGGATGGGCAGCAGGAGTACGCTGAGTTCCTTCACTTGCCCAAAAGGAAATTTAATGATTTCAGTATGCAACTGCCCTTCTGCTTAGTTATCCATAACTAGCCTTTTTAGTATTTTCATTTACTAAATTATTTAGTTAGATTTTTAGAAAAGTAAAATTCTATATATAATAGACCTTTGTGCTGTAGTTTATATGATATAATGAATAAATTTCGTTTTGATTATGTGTTACTTGTTAGCCTTTTCCAATAACATGGTATGATAACATAATGCAAAATTTTGGGCAATTATTTGTTATTCTTCAATATTGTTGGCAAATATTATAGGGAATGAGTGCATCATTTCAAAATGTTGCACAATACTTGGACATCATTTGCATGCACTGAACAATATTTTCATTGATAAAGATTCATAAGAGCTTCTTTTTATCCGATGTATATATTTTGTAGGTCTTGTGCGCAAAGAAATTGCTGATGATACAGAGAGAATAACTGGGAGATCCAAACAAATATCTCCTGTTCCCATCCATCTTAGTATTTATTCACCCAACGGTATATGTTTTTACCCTTTTTGTAATTTATGGTGTTATATTTCCAATGATCATTCTATGTTGATATTACATTGAAAGTGTTGATATGGTCATATTAGATGGCATAATGGTCATAACTGTGTCAATTTTGTGCATATATTAATTTTTTATACATTGCATCGATCGAAAATTTTTTCCACTTAAAGCATTAGTTATCCTTCCTGTTATTTATAATAGCAAATGCAAGGCAATTCTTGTCTTAGTGTCATCATTTTGCCTTCTGTTGCATGGACGCACTATTTAGGTCCTAAGATGCAATAAGAAGTGCATTTTGATGCATTGGATAAAGATTGTGGCATTTCTTATCGATTGCATTTACTTCCGCACTACCAAATTATCAGTGTCCAGAGCTTGGAGTCCGATTCCACCCATTGCATGTCTTTCCTTTTTTTTTTCCTTGTTAAACCTTACTAGAAAGCTTCTCTGGCAGCTGGAGTTTCTGTCCTCTGGGTTCTATTTTCTAATGCTTTAAACTTTTAGTCAATGTGATTTCCTGTTATGTTTTGCATTAAGAACTGAATTCTTCCTTTCTATGACCCAAACATCTTTTTTGATTCCATATGGCAGTTGTAAATTTGACGCTCATTGATCTACCTGGTCTAACTAAGGTTGCTGTAGGTAAATCATTTTAACTTCTTTCTTTTAGCTTGAGCCCTAGCACCATTTCTACAGCTTGTTTTTGTTTTATTTTTTAAGGCGGGTTGAACTGACATAATGTTACTTTGCACAGAGGGACAGCCTGACAGTATTGTTCAGGATATTGAAAATATGGTCCGTTCATATGTTGAGAAGGTATTCAGCTTTAAGAATAACACAATACAATGTGGTGACATTCCTATAGACACTATCTATTGATATTATGTTTGTTTCATTTAGTAGTTTTTAAGATCCTTTATATTAAGCAAGCTGTCCTCTAAATTGTATGAACAAAAGTTTGAATGCAAATTTGTGCAGATTTACTAAATGAAGGCCCTTGACATGATTTTTGTTGTTGCACCTGATTTATATCTGAAAATGACAAAAGTCTGAGGGCTTCATGTATCTCTTTCACATTTTAAATATATAGAAAAATTAACATTAGAGTGGGGCATCTTCTTTGTTTTGTTATAGCATGCCTTTATTGTTCAAGTTGTGATTTATTTTTTGCAGCCCAACTGTATTATTTTGGCAATATCTCCTGCCAATCAAGATATTGCAACGTCAGATGCCATTAAACTTGCTAGGGAAGTGGATCCTTCTGGTATGATTCAATTTCAGCATCCAAAACACTTTTGCATTCGAACTATCAATTTTTATTGATGTCTTCCATTCACATTTTTTATATAATGTGCGTAAGATCCGTTCATTTTACCAATGCTTTATTGCCACATGAGAGCTTTTTGTATTCATCGACATCATGTATTCCTTTTTACTATTTGTAAGGTGAAAGGACATTTGGAGTTTTGACAAAGCTAGATTTGATGGATAAAGGAACAAATGCGCTTGATGTGAGTTATACTTTCACTTGTTTTTCTTAGATTGACCAGGAACAAACCTACTACTAGTTATTTTACAGCATTATTTGAGATCCTACACATGTTCACACTGTGCCTTTGCTCCCCTTTAGTTTCATGTTGAAGTTGCTCATTCATGAAAGTTCTCTCCAGGTCCTAGAAGGGCGATCTTACAGGCTGCAACATCCTTGGGTTGGAATTGTTAATCGTTCACAGGCAGATATAAATAAGAATGTTGACATGATAGCTGCTCGGCAGAAAGAAAGAGATTATTTTGCTACTAGTCTAGACTATTCTCATTTATCCAGTAAAATGGGATCGGAATATCTTGCTAAACTTCTTTCAAAGGTATTGCTATCGGAAACTATTATCTTCATAGTTGTAGAATTCCGTTAAGATATGGTCAGTTAGACAAGTATATGTTTTCAGCATTTAGAGTCTGTAATCAGAGCTCGAATTCCTAGCATTACATCATTGATAAGCAAGACCATTGAAGAACTTGAATCAGAGATGGACCATCTTGGTCGACCCATTGCTGTTGATGCAGGGGTGAGAACATTATGAATGTTGAATTAATTCTTACGCTTGGTATTTTCTGGTTATAATTAATTGACTGAAATGCTATTTCAGGCTCAGTTATACACTATATTGGAACTCTGCCGTGCCTTTGACAAGATATTCAAAGAGCATCTAGATGGAGGGTAAGGACAAATGCTGCCTGCCTCTTCTATGCACAACTGTCTAATCATTGGATTTTTCACACTTTGTTTGCTCTCTCCGTTTTTTATTTGAATGATATATTAAGCATTTGTTTTCTTATAAAATATTAAACATATGTTTATGTAAAAAATATTTTTCTACATAATATGCTTACATGCCAATATGTTGATTTTTTTTTGCCAGCAAAGGACCCCAAAAATTGTGGTATATGAGTGGATTATGCCCTAGATGTTGGAGAGGTAGTTGAATAATTTTGATGCTTAAAGGTTTTAGTTGCTAGACTGATGGACCGGCTCAGCCTGTGGGCTCCACTAAGGTGTACGGTGGGCAAGGAGAGAGGTGGTCAAAGGAGAGTTAATTACTTACCATAGGAGACCAAAATTGGGAGAGAATTAGGAATGTTTATTTAGGAAAAAATGGCTAATTTGATTGGGAGGGAATTAGGATGGTTTATTTGAGGAAAGAGGGTTGATTTGATTGGGAGGAAATTAGGAAGGTTTAGAAAAAGATGGCTGATTTGAATTCAGATTTATGAGGGAATTATTTAGAGAAAGATGCTTGATTTGAATTCATACTTGGGAGGGAATTAGGAGAGCTTATTTAGGGCTAATTATATTTTATTTTTATTACGTGATTTGTGTTTGCTGGAGTTTTTATTTGGTGTTGTTCCTAGTGGCGCCTATGATTTTTGGAGAGCTGATCGACCTCTATAATAGTTGATCAACTTGTATCTTGGTTTGTTGTGCTAAAAGAAGCATCTTTTTCACCGATTTATGATGCGTTTTTACTTTGTTATTATTGTTCTTGTTGTGTGGATGTCAGATTCCTATTAAATTTGTATCATAACACTTTTTTGGGACCTATGACGGCTAAAAAAGTGGATGCTTAAAAAAAAGGAGAAGTTGATCAACTCAAATCTGAAGTTAAGGAATGGTTTTCATCTATAGAAGGAATGCTTTCTAACCTAGAGGATATGATGAGGAAAATATTGAAGTTTCACATTCAACTGACATCATCGTAGGTAAGGGCACCATTGACCGGACAAGGAAGTTTGGGAAACCCTAATATAGGGATGATGAGGGAGGATTGGGAGGTTGAAATTTGGGGGAAGAAGAGATGTCATCTTTGGAGCCACTTCCAAGGAGGGAAAGGGGATGATGAGGGAGGATTTGGAGGTTGAAATTTGGGGGAAGAAGATATGTGATCTTTGGAGCCCACTTCCAAGGAGGGAAAGGATGAGTGACATTTTTAATGGAGCTGCAGAGTTTGGAAGGAGAAGAAGATAGGGAGAAGATAAAAGTACAAGACATGGTTCAGCCACTCTTACAGCAATATCAAGAGGTGTTCCAACCAGTTCAGGGGTTGCCTCCTCTGCGAGAACATAGGCACGTTATCATCTTGAAGGAAGGAGTCTCACCTATCAATATTTGTATGTACCATTATCTCCAAATCCATAAGGATAAGATGGAGAGATTGATCATTCGACCCATAGTCAAAACATTTTTCAGTCCAGTGCTTTAGCAACAATTTCTTTTATTCCACCTTGAGGACAAGGTGATTCTTTGGGGGGAGAGTATTGATGGATTGACTAAGCTTGTGGGCTCCATTAGGGTGGACAACGGGCAAAGAGAGAGGGGGGTCAAAGGGGGATTAATTACTTATCATAAAAGACCAAAATTGGGAGGGAATTAGGAATGTTTATTTATGGAAATATGGTTGATTTGATTGGGAGGGAATAAAAAAAGTTTATTTGGGGAAATAGGACTGATTTGATCGGGAGGGAATCAAAAAAGTTTATTTGGAGAAATAGGACTGATTTGATCGGGAGGAGATTAGAAATGTTTATTTAGAGAAAGAGGGATTATTTGAATTCAGATTTAGAAATGAATTATTTAGGGAAAGAGGGCTGATTCGAATTCAGATTTGACATGGAATTATGAGAGCTTATTTAGTGTTAATTATGTTGTTTTATTTTCATTATGTGATTTGTGTTTGCTGGAGTTGTTCTTAGGATTTTTTTTTTCTAGCGGAGCCTAGGGTTTGTGGAGAGTCGATCTACCTCTTGAATGGTAGATCCGCTTGTATCTTGATTTGTTGTGCTGAAATAAATATCTTTCTCGCCAATTTCTGCTGTGTTTTCTTTTTATTATTGCTATTTTTGCAGCGTGAATGTCAGATTTCTATCATGGACCTGACTAGCTTGTTCATGTCCACAAACCTCCTATTTTTTTAAATATTATAGGATATTGATAACTGGACGACTCTAGTGGATTGGTATTTGAGAAACTATCAGGGATCTACTAGACTACTAAATTGTTGAACACACGTCATGAGGCCTAGCTATCCATATTGTAAACGTTATGGTATAAAGCTACAGTTGCGTGTTACTTAACGTTATTTTTAAAACAAATTTTAGCCATTTTCGCCCATTTTAGCACCATACTTCAGGCTACACCCATCTTACCTATTCTTAAGAATTGCTTGCTAGGTGGTATCAGAATCTTTGCATTGGTTTGATTTTGAGAGTTGTAAATTTGGATGTGCAGTGTTGTTCATAGGATCTAAAATTTATATCTGTGATCATCCGCAGGCGTCCAGGTGGAGATAGAATCTATGGTGTTTTTGACAATCAGCTTCCTATGGCATTGAAGAAACTCCCATTCGACAGGCATCTCTCTGTGCAGAATGTCAAGAAAGTGGTCTCAGAAGCTGATGGGTATCAGCCCCATCTGATCGCTCCTGAGCAAGGTTATCGCCGTCTTATTGAAGGTGCTCTCAGTTACTTTAGAGGTCCGGCCGAAGCATCTGTGGATGCTGTGAGCCTTCCTAAACTTGCACTTTCCAATACCCTGTATGGAGTCAATGAACACACCACTAAATTTTCTCTTGAGATTTTTAATTGCAGGTCCACTTGGTTTTAAAAGATTTGGTCAGGAAATCTATAGGAGAGACTCAGGTAAGAGTTATAACTTATAAGCAGCTTTAAAGCTACTTTTGACTTGGCGTTTGCACTCTGTGGATGACTCTTTTCTCTGTGGTCTATCAGGAACTGAAAAGGTTTCCGACTCTCCAATCTGAAATAGCAGCTGCTTCCTATCAATCATTGGAAAGATTCAGAGAAGATGGAAAGAAGACGGTGGCTCGCTTGGTTGACATGGAAGCATCATATTTAACCGTCGAATTCTTCCGCAACCTCCCACAGGAAGTCGATAAAGGAGGCAATACCGCCAGCTCTACAGTGGATCGATATACGGAAGGACATTTCAGGAGAATTGCTTCGAATGTTTCCTCTTATATAGGGATGGTGTCTGAAACACTTCGACTCTCTATCCCAAAGGCTGCCGTGCATTGCCAAGTCCGAGAAGCTAAGCGATCCTTGCTCAATCTTTTTTACACACAAGTGGGGAGGAAAGAGGTATTTCTTCTCTGTATTAGGGTTGTCAAAAAAATCATTCGTGTTCGATTCAACCAAAAAACACTTAGTGCGTCTCCAACTGAACTCAAAACGCTTGAATGACGTCGCTCGCGAGCTTCAACCGAACGTTAAAACTTTCGCTATTTGGTTGCGGGTGAACAGTGGGACGCCAATATTGACGTTGCACTGTTCATCTTCGATATTTTTCTATCTTTACCGAACTTGCTGAAGAAACTCGCGAAAGAAGAGAACGATTGTTGTTACATTCGTAAAATTGGACAAAATGGAGTTCGATTAGAAATGAATCACGGCATTTTGTAGTGAAAAATGAGATTTTCGGTTGGAGATGCCCTTATCTCGCTCTAGCTCAACATAGTTTTCACTCTCATTTAGTAACTGTTTTATATATTTTTTTTACTTATTCAAAGTAGTAATTCTAATGACTTTTTTCCTCTGCAGGGGAAGCAGCTTGGGCTGCTGTTGGATGAGGATCCTGCATTGATGGAGCGCAGAGTACAGTGTGCAAAGAGGCTTGAATTGTACAAATCTGCTAGGGATGAGATTGAAGCAGTTTCTTGGGCTAGATGAGGTTGAAATATTGTTATTGTTTGTCTGATGTATAAAAGCTTGTGAAATACACCGCGTTGTGTTGTTTTTTTGCCATCACTGCTTTGTAGTTCAACTTGCCTGCCAAGTCTTATATTCTTTTTGTGCAAATTCTTGGGGCTTATTTGGTTGCTATATATTTTATTGAATCATAATTTTTTATTTTTGTGAAATGAAATATTTAAATTTGTGAAAATATATTTTTATTGAATCAAATAAGGCGGTTGTGATGAGTGAAGATTATTTGCCGTCTTAAAGGTAGATTTTCATCTGAATAAGTTTATCCTTCTATTTTATTTACATGATATAAATGCATATTTGTATTATTTATAATCCAGTAGTAAAACTTCTACTATTTTATAATAATTAAACTACGAAATATCGGGCATGCTTTTTAAATAGGGTTATAATATAGAGGAAGGGATTTTCATGCTATTTATGTATCTAGAATTTAAATTTTATTATTATTTATATGAGATTTAAATTTTTATAATTAAATTAAAAAATATATAAGAAAAGTGCATTTTATTTTAAAATTTTGAATTTTAATAATACTTTTACTTGATTTGAAAATTTAAATTTAAGATAAATAAATGTAGAAATTATCTAATATACATGTATAATTGTAAATGCCTGTATAAAAATAAAAAAAAAAATATATATATATATATATTTTGATGCTGAGTATAATAAATATAAGCTTGTATTATGGATGTTTGGTTTTCTTTGTGCATGGATGGTACCTTAGAAGGGTTCTTTCAGTCTTCCTCTGGGCTCAGGCAGGGTTGTCCCCTTAGTCCATACCTTTTCAGTATTGTGATGGACGGCCTCTCTTGCCTTCTGGACTGCAATTTGCAAGAGGACTGTTTTGAGGGTTTCTCATTTGGGAATTTTAAGTTGACTTACCTCTTATATGCAGATGACTTGATCATATTTGGTAAAGTTGATATTGCCAATTATAATAAGCTTACTTCTATATTAGAGAGTTTCTCTAAAGCCACGGGTCTTCATGTCAACTTTGGGAAAAGTTCTGTTATACTACCCACAAATTGTATTAATGCTCAGGCTATCTGCATTGCCCTTAACATCCCCACTGCCTCCTCCTCTATGTCTTATCTGAGCATCCCTTTATCCCCATTTCACCCAAAAATTGGCTGTTTTTCTAAGCTTATGGAATGTATTATTACTAAGTTGTCGGGGTGGAAAGCCAAGGTTTTATCTCTTGCTGCCAGACTTCAATTCCTTAGATATACTATTTGGAACACAATTGCGTATTGGATTCGTGGTAGTATAATACCTAAAACCATTCTAAAACAGATTGATAGATTATGTGCTAAATTCCTTTTCTTTGGGGATTTAAATAAGAAAAAAATGCATTTAATTTCATGGAGGAACACTTGCAAGCCTATAGAGTTGGGTGGAATTAGGTTACCTTCATTGCAGTCTCTTCAATTTTGTTTTAACTGCTCTCTCATTTTAAGGATTTACAATGGGAATAGTCCCCTGAAAAGTTGGCTGTTACATTCTTATTTTTCTCCTTGGAAAGACCCTATTTCTAAAGCTTCTAAGTTCTGGAAGAACATTTGTAGGGATGCTATCAAAGCCAAAGCTAAATTTCATTTTAATGTTAATGTTAACTCTAATGTTTCTCTGTTCTGGGATCATTGGGTTAATGATCTTTGTATCAAGGATATTGCAGCCCTTCTTCCTCTTTTAAATGTTGTTCCAGTTAATGAGAGGGTTAATGTTATTTTGGATGGGGATGCCTGGGCTTTGCCTGAGCTCTTGCCGATTGCTGTTCTGGATACTCTTTCTGCTATTCCTATTGTCTCTGCCTCTCGGAATTCTATCTACTGGGGTGCGGACAAATTCTGAAAGCATAAGATTTTTAGGGAATTTTTCTATTCCCAGGAGGATAAAGTGAATTGGTGGAATTTTGTTTGGCATAAACACTATATCCTTAGATACTCTACTTACTGTTGGATGGAATTATCTGGTGGCTTAAAAACTTCTGATTCTTTGATAGCGAGAAATATTTTTGTGGATCCCATTTGCTCTCTTTGCCACTGTCATGCAGAAACTGCCAGTCATCTCTTCTTTGAATGTGACTATTCTTTTTCTATTCTCACTAAGCTGGTATCCAATCTTGGGTTTTTATTGCTCAGGCCAAGTATCTTACAAATTTTCGAGTATATTAAAGATACACGTGATAAGCATAAGGATTTTTATTATCTTCTTATTTGCTCTTCAATATACTTTATTTGGAGAGAAAGGAATGATAGAAAATTTGGGGGCTCCTCTCTTTCTTCTACTTCTTTAATGTTGAAAATCAAAAGTGCTGTTTTATCTAGAATTATGAAATGGAATTCTAGGGATATTTTGATGGATCTGCTGTAAGGTTTTTGGTTGGTATTTGATGAAGTTGCTGCTGGTTTTTTATCTGGTATGGTGCGGTTGGGTGGTGGCAAGCCTGTAACTGTATTTTTCTCTGATCTGTTCTGGGGGCTTTTTATGGTGGCTAGGCCCTTTTGCTGTATGGCTGGAAATTTCTGCTTCTCTGGTTTTCCGTTTAAAGGGGCAATGATGACTGGGTTGCCATCTTCCCCTTTGGATGGCAGGATTCTTTTTGCAACCAGGTTGAGAGAGCGGCAACTCCTGAGCCCGTGGCTATAATGATCTCCTCTTCCTTTGGTTTCTTTGGCTATGATCTTTCTTTTTGTATTTGCTTATTTTGGTTTATAGGTTTAGCTTGAGGTTTTTGTTTTTTACCCCTTTTTATGGTCTTGTAAGTTTTACTGCATTTTTCTTTTTCATTACATGTAACAAGTTTATATTAATGAAAAAGGCTTAGACCATAATTTTACCCCAAAAAAATAATACATTATTATTTAATTTATTTATTCAAACCCAATTCTTTTTCATTTGAGATGCTGCGTGCGTTCGTGTTGCTGCGCTCGTAATCCGTACTTGCGCGAGCAGTCGTGGCAGTGGACTGGATGTGGACCATTCGAGATACTGGCCGCAACTGAATCCTGTGGGGCATTTTGCTTCATACCCTCGAGCTTCGGAAATGGCGATCGGCATCCCATGGCATCGTCCTCTCTTCCTTCCGACGAAGCCCGATCGTCCCAATTATCGCTTCACCAGCACAACGATTTCGCGTCCTTTGGCGATTCGAGCGTTCCGCCGCAGCGACTTCGACGGCTTTGCACGGCGCGTGGCCTCCGGCGAAGCGCTGCGTGATGCGTGGAGGAGTGCGAACGAGGGGATTGAGCAACTTGCGTTCGAAGCTCGGCGGGCGGCCGAGCGGATCGACCGACGCTATGCCGTATCTAGACGCATAGGATCCGCTGCACGGACTGCTGCTTCGAGGGCGCAGGAGATTGACTTTGAGATCGGGATTAGCCGCCGATGGCGTTCCTTCTCTATGGATTTTTCCAGGAACTGGCCTAGGGTTTGCGCTTTTCCCTATACCTGACTGCTCTGTTTTTTTTTTCATCCGGATCGTTATTGAACTGAAGTTTCTGTTTATGTATACTATTTACAGTACAGGAGGGAGTTGAATGGGTTTCTTCAGACGCCTGTTGGTAGAGGGTCTATGGTTAGTTCATTGCTCCCCCTCTTGTTCGATTTGTATTTTCTATTACTCTGTCAAGGATTATGGCAGGTTCCCGTATGATATGATTATCTGTTATTTCTTGTTAATCCCTTCTAACTGGAGCTTTCTTATATCTTAGATTCCATAAATCGAGATTTTGGCTGGATTTGCCGTATTTCTTTATTAGCAAAAATTAAGGGATTTGAAGCTTTAGGATTATAGAATTTGTAAATCCTTATACTTGCATTCAAACAACTTTCAAGATTTTAATCCGGGGTAAATATAGCGACAATCAATCCGTTTCAGGATTTAGCAGTCCAATATTTACTAAATTCAGAGTTAAAATTTTTATTAACTGCTACTTTTTATGAAACTGGCTGGTATGACGGAATTATGAAAGTATTGTTGAATTTATTAACTACTACTCTAAGTTTCTATTCTCCCTACTTGTATGTATGCAAACTAGTTGCACTGCGACGTAGAACTTCAAAAATACTAACTGCTTCCTGCCTTCCTTACTGCAACTCATGTATAGGTGAGTTGATTGTCAATTCCTTAAAATTTAAAAATGACAAACACTAAATGAAGAAACCTCTGCATTTTTACCTTGAACTTCACTATAAAGAAGTTGTAGTTTAACGTCAAACTTCAAGTCATTAAGGATATGGGGCTTTTACTTGTTCAAACACAAGGTGTTTTGACAAAGTATTTACCTATTTCAGTTGGATTACATCAAGGATTGGCCTTACGCCCATATCTTTTTGCTTTAGTCATGGATATTCTCACTAGACATTTGCAAGAGGTTGTACCCTGGTGTATGCTTTCTTCTGATATGGAGTTGAAGGTAAACTTGAATTATGGAGGCCAACCTTAGAGTCTTAAGGCTTTCGTTTGAGTAGATCTAAAACTGAATTTATGAAGTGTAATTTTAGTAATAATAGATCTAACGGTGGGGTTTATGACTTTGGGTGATCAAGTCATTAATAAGAGTAGTTTTCGATATCTTGGGTCTAATGTTCAAAGTGATGGTGAAATAGATGGGATATTATTAGTAGAATTCAAGTTGTATGGTTACAACAACAACAACAACATCAAGCCTTTGTCCCACTACGTGGGGTCGGCTACATGAATCCTTTTTCGCCATTGTGTCGGGTTACAAGTCAAATTCTCATCTAAATCTAATAAAGAAAGATCATTTCTAATATTTTCTAACCAAGTCTTTTTAGGTCTACCTCTGCCTTTCTTAACATAAGCTAAATCTAATACCTCAACTTTCCTAACCGGGTCATCGGAAGGCCTCCGTTTAATGTGACCAAACCATCTAAGGCGACTCTCTCTAATCTTATCTTCCACTGGAGCTACTCCAACCTTTTCACGTATATGCTCATTTTGTATCCTATCTCTCAGGGTCAAGCCACTCATCCACCTAAGCATCCTCATCTCTGCAACACTTAACTTAGTTTTATGCTTCTCTTTAATGGCCAACAGTCGGCACCATAAAGCATTGCAGGTCTCACCGTGATCTTATAGAATTTTCCCTTAAGTTTGAGGGGGACTTTTTAATTGCACAATAAGCCCGATGCATTCCTCTACTTCAACCATCCAACTTGAATTATGCTGATAATATCCCCATCAATTTCACCATCACTCTGAACAATAGATCCAAGATATCTAAAACGTGTACTCTTATTAATGATTTGATCGCCCAAAGTCACAATCCCCTCACTAGGTCTATTTCCACTAAAATTACACTCCATATATTCAGTTTTAGATCTACTCAAGCGAAAACCTTCAGACTCTAAAGTTGACCTCCATAATTCAAGTTTACCTTCAACTCCCTCTCTAGTCTTATCAACAAGAAGAATATCATCAGCAAAAAGCATGCACCAAGGTACATCCTCTTGCAAATGTCTAGTGAGAACATCCATGACTAAAGCAAAAAGTCGTCCTCAAATTCTATAGGATGGTCGTTAGACCTGCAATGCTTTATGGTGAGAATGTTGACCATTAAAAGAGAAACATAATATTAAGTTTAAGTGTTGCAAAGATGAGGATGCTCATGTGGATGAGTGGCTTTACTCTTAGAGATAGGATACGAAATGAGGATGTATGTGAAAAGGTTGGAGTTGCTCTAGTGGAAGATAACATTAGAGAGAGTCTTCTTAGATGGTTTGATCATATAAAACGGCAGCCTTCCGATGACCCGGTTATGAAAGTAGATGTATTAGATTTAACTTATTTTAATAATGGTAGAGGTAGATCTAAAAATACTTGCTTAGAAAATATTGGAAATGACATTTCTTTATTAGATTTAGATCAGAATTTGACTCTTAACATGACACAGTGGAGAAAAAGGATTCATGTAGCCAACCACACATAGTAGTATAAAGACTTGTTATTGTTGTTGTTGTTGTTGCTTCCTGAATGCAAAAAAGGCTTAGGAGAATTAATAGTTTGTTCCTTAAAAAAGACAACCATAAGGGAAAATTTTTCTGCGAGTTTATTATTTTGGCATCTAGTGGTTGTGACCTTGAATGCAGGCAAGTTTAGGATTGCATTACTTATTTTGATTTTTTATGTTTTGCACTGATTATAATTTCAGATACTTATATCTGCCACGCCTATACTATGTATAGCATATTTCTCTGCTTTGTATTTCTTGCGAGCATCTACTTCATGTGGTATATTATTTAACAAGTGATTTAGCTGTATATGACTCTCCTGGCTACTTATGGAAGTCTAAGGTCACCAGTCTTACATAGAATCTCCTGGTGGTCAATTCCAACATCACCATAGTTATAACACTAGTCCTAGGCAATTCAAGTTTTGCAAATGGTCTATTGCTTAACCACATTAACAAGCCTAGTTACATCTATAGCTAGTGAGCAAGTTCTCTCCAATAAGAAGCTAACTAAAGGGTGGGTTGTCAATTTCCTAAAAGAAGAAAACCTACAGATTCTTAGAGAAGTATAAACAAGGAAAAACTATGTGATCAGAAGGGACCAATGTAAGTGTGATGCCCATAAAAAGTGTGGAATATAAAAGATGGGATGTGATAAACACTAACTTTATAAAAGTGCCAACAACTTCTATAATTGATTGATATCAATTCAATTATTATGTTGTCATCCACCAGTGTTGTAAAAAGTGCAAAGAAACGATGAGGTTGTGCATCGCCATGCAAAGAAGCAGTCATACACCATAAAATGCAAAAGCGGATAAGCGCATGCTTCATTGTTGCTTTGTAGAGCAAGCTTTCCACACCTTCCTAGTTGAAAAATAATATTAGTTCAACAATGGGTTAGTATTATTGCTTACTATAACCTAAAATAATAAAATCCTAATCCTCTTGCTATGTCTATCTGGCATCATCTGCAGCATGCTATAAACTTAAAATCAATATTTCACTTTTACATGTCTTCATTTGCAATAAAAGCATCTTATCTACGTATGCTTTAGCGATCCTATTCAATTTTCAAATATTTAAACTTTTGGGTAACATTTTTGATTCACAATAGGAAAATAACCTCAAACGGTGTGCATTTCAATTTATTATGTGAGATGTAGATGGTCTTTCGAAATCGTGTTTGATACGTGAAATAGAAAATGCACTTACCTGATAAAAATAAATTGAGTACCATATTAGGTTTAATTGCAGGTTTGCTTGTCTTTGTTTGACTGACACTTCAGCTTATTTCCCATGGTGATAGTTTCACTTGTTTTGTTGATTTTCAGATGGCCTTCTTCTTCTGGTTTGCTTTATCTGGGTGGATGTTTAGGTTTTTCATTATAGCTACTTGGGTATTGCCATTTGCAGCGCCTCTTCTTATTGGTACATTTGCAAATAGTTTTGCTCTTCAGGTAAGCTATATTTCCTTTGATCCTTTTTTTTTTTCAATTTTAATGGAAGTTACATGAAATTTCTAAAACGCTGTCATCAGTTTGCTATCTAATTGAAATCTTATGCTACCCTTTTTTCCCTTAATCTCTTATGTTGTGATATAAATTTGCTTACTACCAAGGACTTGGCTTGACATAAAGTCGAGAATTATTTTTTTTTCTTAAGTATGCAATATTGATCCTAGTTGGCAAGATTGGTGATGAGCACATTTGGTTGCAAGGCAGTAGGCACATGCCAAACTGAAAGGTAAGTACTTTTGGTTGTAAGCCAGTAGGCACATGACAAACAAAAGGGTGATGCTAAATCAAGATTTCCTTTGGAATATTTTTTGGTTCTAAGACTCCGTAAATTATTATTATTAACTAAAAAATAAATATTATTCACATTGTAAAGAATTGTTCCAATTTTTAAAACCTTAATCTTAGCACCCTAAATAAAAATGTAGATTTTTGTTTTTATCATCGTTATTAGTAAAATCGAAGTTGAAGAGGCTTTAAAGAAAATAAAGTACGGAAAAGCACTGAGACCTGTTGATATTCCAATAGAGGTGTGAAAATGCTTAGGAGGATAAAGAATTTCTTGGCTTACTAAATTTTTTAACATTATTTTGAAGACAAAAGATGTCAGATTAGTGAAAAAGGAGTGTGTTGGTTCTAGTTTTAAGAATAAAGGTTATGCACAAGTGTGTGCAAATAATATAGGAATTAAGTTAATGTGTTATACATTAAAATTATGGGAGAGAGTAATTGAGCATAAGTTACGATGTGATACTAATGTTTTTTAAAATCAGTTTAGATTCATGCTATGGGCCATGGAAGTTATACATGTATTAAGAGGTTTGATGGAAAAGTATAGAAAGCGTAAGGAGGATCTACATATGATATTTATTGATTTAAAGATAGCGTATGACAATTTCAAAAGAAGTGCTATGAAGAGTTCTAGAAAACAAAAGAGTTAATAATGCTTACATTCAAGTCATTAAGGATATGTATAGATGAGCTATTACTTGTGTTCAAACATAAGGTGGTTTAACCAAGTATTTTCCTATTTCAATTGAATTATATCAAGGATAAGCTTTAAGCCCATATCCTTTTGCTTTAGTAATCAATGTTCTTACTAGACATTTGCAAGAGGATGTAGCCAGGTTTATGCTTTTGATAAGACTGGAGAGGGAGTTCAAGAAAAACTTGAATTATGGAAGTCAAACTTTTAGTTTAAAGGATTTCGTTTAAGTAGATATAAAATTGAATATATGGAGTGTAATTTTAGTAATAATAAATCTAGAATTCTAGATGTGAGATTATGACTTTGGATGATCAAGCCCCATTAAAAAGAGTGCACGTTTTAGATATCTCGGGTTAATTGTTTAAATCAACGGTGAAATAAATGGGGATATATTATTAGTAAAATACAAGTTGGATGGTTGAAGTGGAGGAATGCATTGGGTTTGTTATTTGATAGAAAAGTACCCCCTCAAACTTAAAGAAAAAATGCTATAAGATGGAAGTGAGACCTACAATGCTTTGTGGCGTTGAATGTTGGCCATCAAAAGAGAAGCATAAAATTAAGTGTTGTAGAGATGAGGTTGCTCAAGTGGATGAGTGGCTTTACACTTAGAGATAGAATGCGAAACAAGTATATATGTGAAAAGGTTAGAGTAGATAAAATTAGAGAGAGATGCCTTAGATGGTTTGGTCACATAAAGTTTTGGCCTTCCGATGACCCAGTTAGGAGAGCAGATATATTAGATTCGTTCTATGTTAAGAAAGGTAGAGGTATACTTTAAAATACTTGGTTAGAAAGTATTAGAAATGATTTTTTTAATAGATTTAAATGAGAATTTATCATAATATGACACAATTGAGAAAAATGATTCATGTAGCCAACACCACGTAATGGAATAAAGATTTGATGTTGTTGTTGTTGCATACTTGCATTTAGTGGTGACGGATTCATGCAACATGTGAAACTTCTTTGGGTAACAGCATTGTTGACGAAAATGGCAATGTTTATGTTACCATCTGTTTTAAACAAACTTTATATTAGTAGTTCTGTTATTTTATTGTGTAGATGTGCATCTTTAAATTAACATCTGAAATTTAATTTTGTGCCAAATGGATGTCCGAGTAGTTTTATCCGCGACATTATTTTTTAACTAATGAAGGAGAGAAGAATTTAAAAAGCCAGTCAAAATTATTGTGATAAGGCTAATGAGGATGATGATGAATAAGCTTGGATTAATCTTGTAAAAATGATGCAAATTGAAATGACAGAACTTATCAAAATACTTGTGTTTTTTATTTACTTTGGGAAGATCAATTTCAATTTCCGCTTTTATCAACTATGGTAGTAAATGTGATGCGTTTCCATGAAATGAATTGTTAAATAACCATACAGAAGCATAAGATTCTCAAGTTATAAAAAAATGACGCAGCAACTTTATTTTTCGTAGTACGTTTTGGATGAATAGTTAGTAGACTCTTTAATATAATTATTCAGTTAATTTGAAAATGCGGGCATTTGGAATAACTGGATTTGAAGTATATTATTTTAGATAAAATTTGTGTGTATTCTTATTGAAGATGCGCAGTTATAACAATGCTACCCATAGCTTGTTGCATTCTGAGTCCAATTGTTTTCTTCTTTGTGAAGACAGTTGTTCATAAATTTATCAATCCCTCTTTCTTTTATTCACTTACAAATGTCTGTTGTTAGACTAATTATATGTAGGATGATAATTATTTAAATAAATAATTTTATTAATGATAAATTTAATTATAATTTTTATAAAAATTAACAATAATTTACTTAGCAATCTTTCTAATGTATTATGAATAATAATACTATTTTTTAATCTGTCAATCTAGTTATTTATTTAATATTTTTAATTTTTGAAATTTAATTAAAATAAATTATATTTTATTCTATTCATCCAGTATTTGTTCAATATTTTTATCATCAAATGTTAATAAAATTGTTAGACCAGTCTATTGGACCAGTCCAGTCGGTCCTACGGGACTGACTCGTGCGCGAAATGGCGGGAGTTCCGCCTCCTGTACAAACTGCACAAGCCGACGTGTTTAAAAGAGCAGTTTTGGAAGGAATTTTGAGGGATTCTAGAGGAAAATTTGAATGTAGGGATTGCTTAGGGATTTCCTTTTGATTTATATGCATTAAAAAGTTTGTTTTCCTATCAATAGGGCATCTTGAATTTGGCTGAAATTTGAGATTTTTTTAGACTTAGATTTTTCTTGGGCTCTAGCGGCATCTAGAGATTTGGGAGAGATAAAACCTCCTCTCAATAGTGGATCAATTGTATCTTGGTATTTTCTGTTTTCTTTTATCATATAATACAAATTATCTACTGTTTTCCTGCTTTTGTGCGGATTTTTGTGGAGAATTCTCACTATATTTTAAAGATTGATAGGAAATACTTGAGATCTGCAAGTGGTTCGTATGAAAAATATAAGATATTTTTTGATCTATCAGTCTAATTATTATCTCAATATTTTTATCATACTTTTACCTTTAAAAGAGTAGTGAAATTATATTTCTATCTTGTTGCGCAGGGTGTTTGCCCAGCTTGCAAGAGGCAGTTTATTGGTTACCGTAACCAAGTAATCCGTTGCCCAGGCTGCAGAAACATTGTGTGGCAACCTGGCGATGATGATTTCACCAAGAACAGGAGCAGTACGTCCTCTAAACCTTCCGAGTCTGACATAATCGATATTGAGATAGAGGAGAAATGAGAAAATATTTTGTTAGCATGATTTGCTTCAGAAAAATCTGTAAGAAATGCAAGACACAGGGGACTTCCAAACGATGCCCTTGAGGGATCTTCTTGTGCTCTGCTGTACATGAAATGTCCTAGAGTCTGTCCTATTCTGTGAATATTCTTTTACTCGACACGAGTTGTCACCGAATTCTTAGCAATAACGAAAACAAAAAAAAATGAGAAAATTAAACTTATTTTGCCTGTTAGGTTGGTATTTTGAGAGTTTGCTGTAGGCAAGGGAGGTGTACACTTCAGCTTAGATTAGAAGATGCTGTGTTGGCAAATAATGTGATTGTGTTCTTTGATTAGTGTGGTTAGGCTTCGTTTCACCATATGGAAAGACTATGGCTGTCAAAGCTTGTTACAGACATGAGAAAAATTTTCTGATGCTATCAACAATTGAGTTGACTGAATTGAATGGACTGGCCAGTGGCCAGAATTCAGTTAGTAAAGGGTAGTTTGAAAACAAGATATTTTGATGTGTTCCTCATCTTAAGCTTTGCGTACTGATCAGTTGTGCAATATTATTGGGATGGAACATGCTGTCTTGTTTCTGATGCTATCATAATTGAGTATTTCAGTGGCGGAGTGGAGATAAAATAGGAGTGAAAAAAAGGAAAAAAATTAGGATGAAATCTTTTGCCACTAATTTTTTAATTTACGAAAAGTAAAGATTTAGTAAATACCTACCTAATTTATATTATAAACGGAGGAGAAATGATATTTAAATTTACTCTAGGATAAAAGTATTTTAAATTTCAGGTTGGCAGTATTTAAGTTAAAACTCATGCAAAAGCTGTATTATGGTTTTATTTGGGATGATTTTTTTTATTGCTTATTGAAGTAATTTTTTAAGTAAAAAATAAATAATTTTTTATCAGAAAGTTGTTTTTAACCAGTTGTACTAAATGAAGCCTAAATCTGATACCGAAAACATCCCTAAATGAACACTTAGCTTTGTTGAGATGTTTCAATTAAGGCCATTCAAGTAAGTTGGGTGGAAGAGTTTTTTTGAAATCGTTGCCTCTAAAAACACCTCTTGAATTTATCTGCTCCAGCCTTTTTAAGGATACATTATTATATGCAGTTATCGAACGTCATTCGGAGGCCAATCAGGATACGACACGTCACAAATACTTTGTGTATCGTTATTGCGTATCGGGAGATGTGGCGCATCATGATTGACCTCCGAACAATCCGGTGACCACATGTAATAATCTATCTTTTTTAATACATATCAAATACATAACTAGTTTGATTAGAGAAGCGCGGAGAATAGTGAGTTTCTCTTAGTCCACCCACTTGCTTTTCATCCTTCTAATTGCATACGTTTTTAATTTATGTGACCTGAATGGTATTTAGGTAGAATTCATGAAAGAGGCTTCTTTTCCACCAAATCTTTTTCAGTTTGGGAAACTAATCCTTTCTTTCATTAGTGCTACTTTTTTTTAAGACATTTAGATCAATTAAGTCAAATTCACACACATCACATACGTAAGATTCAAACTCAAAATATTTTAATTGATAGCCAAAACTATCAACTAATAAACCAAAAAGAGCTATGTCATAAGTACTACTTGCACACTGCCCGCTTTCGAGATCCAGCTACAAAGGAATATGATTCTTTTTTTTTTTAAATATGGATGAATATAATACCGGTATTATCAAACATCACAAATGATAATTCCAATTTCCGTTTCCCAAAAAAATAATTTCAATTTCCTCAAGTTCTGCTAAATTTGGAATATAAATGATGCAATTACGAATTAGGAAAAAAAAATGTTTTTAAGAAGATATCCGCTTTTTTTCCAATTTTCGTTGTGTCATCGTATTAAGCATTGGCCACTTTACACCTTATTTCAGGCTTTGGGATTACGGAATACAAAATGGAATATTTTTTTTAGAAAATAGCACTCGAATTTCTTGCATCAATAATTTTATATTTATAGACAGTTTGTGCCAAAAACTAAAAACATGATTTTCTCATGAGAAAATTGAACTATAAATAAATTCACACCTTTAGAAATATCCTAACAAATGCCCAAATATTTATGAACACATTCTTGAATAATAAAATAAACCTTTGTATTGTAAGCATCTATTTTAAGAAATAATAAAGACAATTGAAAACAATCATTTCTTACAAGATGAAATATTATTATAGAAAATGCATACAATTTAGTCATTCATGTTAATCAAACTATATTTAGCTAGAAATATCCGGTCCATTTTTATTTTTATTTTTTCAATTCCACCACTTACTGGCACATGAGAAAGTATTATGTGCGGAGTCCAAACATAATTACGTCTGGATTTCAATAAAAACATGACATGTGTACTTGTGCACAGTGACACATTTTTATTAAAGTTCGAACGTAACTGGACTCCGCACGTAATTTCTCCTATCACAAGCACAAACAAAACTTTGGCTAAACCAAAGTAACGCTTAATTAAGCAGATGAATATTTCATTCCACTTAAAACCAGAAATTCACTAACAAAAATTTATGAGATACAACATACAAGAATAAAATCTTTCAAGGTTTCAGCTAAATTCATGCTCTATATTATACAGATGAATTCTGACGAGTATATAAATTGACCTACCCCTTCTACCAACTTTTCTCCATGGAGAAAACTGCAGATGAGAGATATCTCTTCTAAGAACAGCAGGAGGAATTCAAGGTGATGTCCGACTCTACCCTTTCTCAAGTTTCTTACAGGTTCTAATTTTTTAGCATTTCCAATATAGAATGAAACTCTGGCACGCCATGATCAAACCAAGGACAGGCGCTTCAATTCTAAATCTTTTAAGGAAAGTTTGGTATCTCCACATAGCCAAAATTTGTTTACTGGGCCATCTTGTGACAATGAAATAATGATAGAAAAAAAAAAGACTCGAGATATTCTGATCAAAATATGCCATCTCGGTCTCAAAATTGTTGGATTTACTTTGATATGAATGCAACATATATTTTGATTTATTTATTTATGTTGCATTGATTTCAAATAAAAGTTAATAATTTTGAGAACTATCCTAAATAAAATTTGATCAGGATATTTGAACCCAAGTTTTTTTTCCATTTATAATGGCTGTAGCTCTTGCTCGGCAAAAGCAGTGTCTACATGCCGGTATGCCCCAGCAGCCCCTGGTTTTTGTCTCCAGAAGTACCACACGACCACAACTAAAAATGAGATCATCATAACAATAGCTACACCTATGACAAATCCAAGTAGATGCACTTGCCACCATGACCTATAAGAGTTTAATCTAGGTTAAAAAAAACTATAATTTTAACAAGGAGATCCTAATCAAACAACATGAAAATAGTAATAAGTATATTAATTGATACCGTTTCAATGAACTAACAAAACATCAGCGAGTTCAAAACTAGGAATTAGTACCTTTTTGAAGGTTCGATGTTCCATTCAACCAAACTATAATCTCCAAAATTTGCAGGAAGTTGAAGGCGGTGTTCAGTTAAACGTGATATTATACCCTATGGACAATAACGTAGAGCTTTCAATTAGGACCTGGTAAGTTCAAAAGAGGAACTGATGGAAATGTTTCTTAACAAGCTTGTTAAAAGATTTACCAGTGCTGCTTTGTTTGAAATGAAACCAGATCTTGATGGAAAAATGGCGCATTTTATCAACGTACCGTTTCCTGCACTCGTAAAGTTCATCAAATGAACCTGCCAAGTGGTCAAGGTGTTTTAGCAAACTTATATATTTTTTATCTCAAAAAAAAAAAAAAAAAGATTATTTTTAACCTTTGCCCATATCTAATAGCTATATGATCTTCCAGAACCGGAGCTCCAGAATAATAATAATAATAATAATAAAGTTATGATAGACTTTACTCACTTGAGAAATATCAACTTCCAGCTCATTTGCTATCAGTTCTGTGAATTCTTTGACATGAGGCTCCATATCCGAATATTCAACACTCAAAGAGATATCAAAAGTTATAACTCCAACTCGGTATTGGGCTAAAAAAAGAAATATATGTTGATCAATATAAAGGCAAAAGCTTGCCTAAAAAACTTCCAAAAACAACGGATAAAACAGAAATCATCAACAGACTAATTAATCGCAAATACTTGGATCAGGTTTATATATCATTCTTTATTCATTTCTACTGAGTGTTATATTTATTTTGTGCAATTTTATATAACCTTTAACCACCTTATTTTGTGCGTCTACCCTTTTTCCTTCCTAATGATTTCAAATTGGACTAGGCTCTTAGTCTTGTGATAGTAACTCCTATCCTTAATAATTTTACGGCGAATTTATCTCAACATTTTCATTTTTGTAATGCTTGATTATCTTAAGGCTTTTTATTTCATAATACTTAGATTTATAAATTGGTAGAGTGATTAATAATACATATGACAAAAAAAATCACAATACCAAAATAATGGTAATTTCTTATAGGATTACGATAATTCGCTTGGGAAAAAATAGTAAAACATAACATCAAATCTTCCAAAGAACAAGAATAAAAGAAAGGCAAAAGATAGTATAATTTGCACGCAAAAAGGTATACGGACAATGAGAGTATTTTTTTTGTGAACGCAATTGCTTTTAAAGATAAAAATAATCAAAGAGGATAGAAGACGCATCATTCCAGAACTACTGGGAAAAGGTATTAGGAATTCATGAAACGGCTAGAATATTGACCTTTATTTGTACGGATTCACAGCTAGGAATCGCAATGAGTTCTTCAACCCCTTAGCAGGATGAATGGACAGCTTATAATTTCTTAGAAGATGAAAATACAGGTTCACAAAATTTTGACCATGTAAATCTACCAACTGGCAATTCCTTCATGGAAATTGAAGAAATTATTATTCAGACGTGAACCAATTCTCATTTATATCAGTAAAAACTATGATATGTGCTGGTTCAATAATCTCAGGTAGACATATGGGAGCTGGCATTTGATAGAAGTTGAGCACTATTGGTGGACTTTATTTGGATATTAGATAGTCATTATTTCACTGAGTTCATGTCCATTTGATTATTATATAGCCATTAACAATTTTATTCATATTAGCATGGTTATTTTAATCCATTTAGTAATAATGGCATTTTATTTTCTGCGGGTTCTTATCACAGTACCAAGCATCCCTTTCTATAATAGCATCCTCACGATTGTATTACAAATGCTGGAATTGCTAGAAAAGTCTATCAAAAAAATTAAAGAGTGTTTGTTTTATTCCTTCCTTTCCTCTCTTCTTTTTTATCATTTTAATTAGAAGTCTATCTACATAGGAGCATATGTTCTATGTTCCCGTCACCCTGACTTCCTTTCATCCTAGTCCAATCCTTCACTGATCACTACTTAATCCCATTCTCAACCAAACACACATTAACACAACCCACAACCTCTGCTAATACCCCCATAACCTCATAACCTATTGCAAACTCTTTCGCAGTCTCATCCATGGTTTAAAATTGAGCGCAATTTTAAACATTTAAGCTTCAAAGCCTACGAAATGAGAGCTGGCATTGAGGCCTACGCCTCAAGTTGGCGCCTCACATTTTAGAGGAGTCTGCCTCTTAAAATTTATAAAAAAAAAAAAAAAAAACCAAAAATATATCTATTTGGTTCGGCCCCCCACCCCCTCGCAAGGTACATGCTCGGTACTGCTTGGTACCACTCGATACAACAATGCTTGGTATCACTAGGTACATGCTCGGTACCGCTCAGTACATGTTCGGTACCGCCAGGTCGAACCCCGCCAAGGGGCAGCGCCCCCTTGGACCCCTGGCTACCCGGCATATTGTTTTATTCATCATCTTTAGTAATAGTTGTTATTGTTAGTCTGCTTTAATGAAAAGAATATTGTGATTTGGGAAAGCTAGCAGTTCATCATAATGATGATTCAAATGATGACCCCCTTAGTGATAATAGTGCTGATGACTTATGAATTCTTATGTGATATGTCATTGCTATTTATTTTTGGAATTATATGTTAATGAAAAGAATATTGTGATTTGGGAAAGATAGAATTTGAGTTGAACTATATTTCATAGTCTTATTATTGGGATATTTTGATTTCACTTCATACCTTGTGTCTTTTATGTTTTATATTTTTTACTCATTAGTATATAAAAAAATTATCATTTTATGTTTACACAATCTTTTCATTTTGAGGCTTACGCCTCAAAACACCTTGAGGTTTACGCCTCGCCTCACGAACGAAAAACGCCTTAATACCCGATTACGCAATTTTAAACATTGCTCTCATCTACCAAGAAACTCTTCATCTCCAAGAACGAAATTCCTATAATCCAGTCAACTCCTTAACAGACAGCACCATAACTCAACCCAGACCCAAGGCTTACTGACAAAGTCCAAGTGAGCCTTTTGTCCCACTTCCCAAATCCTTCTTGCCTCCTAAAACCAAGTAACAAAACCCTCCATCTCCTCTCACACTTCATCCTCCCAAAGCTTTTCATTAGCAAACACACTGAGAACTTCCCTTGCAAAGAGGACTTAAAGATCGTATCTGCTGCTTGCTATGACACTCTGCCCATCATAGAAATATCACGATAGGTGCCATAGATGTGCCAAAAAAATAGTAGTCCACTTTTTCAAAGGATAGCCTAGAATCCTGGGACATGGGTAATAAACCCAAGAGAACTGCTAAACACATAACAAGAAATTATACTCTGAAAAAACTAAAAAAAATCCTAAAATGTTGACATACCACAACTTTTCAACGTCAACAATATAAATTTCGGAAGCACAATCAGAATAGTGATGGTGATGCATGCCACACCCTCAAATGTTCTAAACATCGTGTTCTTACTTTATTATTTTTCAAACTAGTAGTTATTCAAAACAAGATTTCCATGCTAAGATAGCTATTCATTTTTTTTGTCAGCTCAGTAGATTACCAAGCATATCTTAGACCGGTACATCCTCTGAAGGCATTAAAAAAAAAAGAAAACTTTTCCTTCATGGCTAAAAATTATTATCATGCAATCATGCATAACAAGAAAAATCTTTGGAAATTGAGGTGCATTACTCCACCAGTGCAGTTCATATCTTAAACTATCTTGGTCTAAAATCCAACAACAATTTTGATGAATAAGTTCATTGCGGATAGTTTAATGTTTTTATATCATCCAAGAGGGAAACTTTGGACCTAATTCCCTTAGTAGGAAGCAGATATTCTTGTCTACTAAATCACTTGAATTGAAAAGAAATTGTGGAGTTGGAAAATGCCTATGACTCAAGGTACTATAAATGGACAAAACAGTTATCAGATAATCAAGACAAAAAGATAGGCATGTATTTCAAGCCCAAATCTTTAAATAAAGCTAGGGATGGAACACTAACTAGGCCAAGATTATTGACATACTAAGTTAGGTGCATATGCTAATCAAGTTTAAACCATCTAACACAGCTAGGGCAGGACCACCATTTTGATCTACGCATAATCAAAGTTGAATTCACCGGCTGTTTATACTCTGAAAATAAGATTAATATCTGAAGGGGAGTGCTAAAGCATTTTTCTTTTCAATTGCATGATGGATAAATTCAGCTTTTCAATGCACACACTGAAGAAACAATCAGCATATCTGTAGGTGAATATACCTGGCAAACTATAGTTCTGAGCTTGACTAGGAGACAATGCTGGTGAGGGAATTTCAGATGTATAGCTGCTTTCAGAAGCAAAAGGCGCTGGTGAAGGGGCACCATTGAACTTAAGCCTCTCCCATAATTCAGAACAATTTGTTTTCCAAAAACCAATTCTTTCATTCCGGCGATCATAAATCACAAGAGTGTTGCGGGCAATTATTCCTTTTAATTTGAAATCGTTTCCATAGAATTGACATAAGAATTAAGAAAATAAGTAAAAACAATTATGGTCAGATAAATTTTGAGAATGACAGGAATCATCACTGGTATTGTTAAAAGCAACTTTTGTGGCCTAGTCATTACATACCTCCCAAAAGAGTTGTAAGATCATTCCCGTTTTGAAAGACTCCCAAGCAATAAGCACCATGAACCTTAGAATGCTTTATATACAATAAAAAAAAGGGTAGCATAAATCTGAAAATCATAAGCAAGAGCAAGATACTAAGAGAAATAAATCATGGAAAATTCATAATTATGCAAGATCTGCATATCAGGGTATTAGCAATCCTACCCGGAACAAGTAATTCTCGGGAGAGAGTTTTAATATTTGTCCATCGCCAAAGAGCATGTCCACTTCAGGGAAGAACTTTGAGAGTTGGGAAACATCACTGTAAAAGCACACATTCTAATTAATGTTTATTTAAAAATAGAGAATAACTATCTTTACTGAATTAAATTTTTTTTATTTGTAGGCACAACCTTCCGGCGCCAGAGAAACAAATATCTCTGTAATTTGGATCTGGACCAGGAATTTGTTTGAGAGGTATTTTATCCATCATCTACAACAAAAAATATACAAAATTATCAAAATTCATCTAGAGAAGTATGATTATTTAACAATGGCACAAGAATATAACATCAACTTGTTTTTGTAACCTTTTTCAGTAGCATATTGGAATCTAACTCAGTAGGAACTAGGAAGTTTGCTCAGTAAGCAAAAGGAATTCAAGTAAATACCCAACCAATCTGTTTCTAAAATATACAACTAGGAAACCTTTAATTGTTATGGAAAGTATGAAGCTATTCATTTATAAGAGACAGAATGTAAGTTTGGAAATAGCATTCCAAAGTTTTTTTCAGATCTTTACATGGAACTTATTAAAAGTACAAATTTTCATCTTTCATTTCCCATCTACTAAATTGATTTACTATTCTACGGAAACATAAGAAAATGATAGAAGATAAAAAGGAGATTCTTGATGTCACAGAAAATATCCAAACAAAAGATATAAACCAATAAAAGAACGGAAATCTACAACAAAAAAATAAAAGGAATAAATAAATCATATCATTGGTATCAGTATTATTAGCCCTGAACTTTATATGTCCAAAATATCAATTTTTCACTACCTTTTCCCTGATAGACATTAATCAAACCATCCCAATTGAACAATCAATTAAAGTTTTAAAAGAAAATTGCTATTTCTCTAAAATATATTTTGACCATTACTTTAAAAAGCTGACGATGAATATTAGCTAAACTAATAGCAAGATAGTCATTCTGAGAAATTAAACTTTACATATATACAGGCAGAGTTCCTATAATTCAATAATTGCCCAACAAAAGGAGATGAAACTTCAAAATTTACAATGTCTAAGTGGTAAGACAACTTACGGCATCTCTAAATGCGATAAAAGCTTCTTTAGGAAGATAGGCAAATGTTGTTCCACTATCCAAAACAGTTCCATGCTTGCCATCAAAGACACTTGGACTTATATCCAATTTCTTCCCCAAAACGACGATCCCCTTCAGGTCGATATTGTAATATGGACTGTTGCCACCCCAAAACTAGAGTAATTGCGTAAGATGCATAAAATGAATTTAAAATACTTTTAGACATTTTTCCAACTGTCTGTAACCAATAATGACCATACCTACGAACTGGATCTGAACGTGCAAAAACCATATCAGGCGGAAGTGGAATCCCCCCAAGGACCATTGAACCACCACCAATGTCCATGCCGCCATAGCATAAAGAGAACGAATCATTTATCACACCCTTATCAACAAGCTGGTCCATGATGCTAAGCTGGCCACGACCCAAACCCATTATACCATCAGCATGTTGGTTGAAAAGATCACCGGTTTCAGAAGTTTCACAACCAAATACCGCTCTTTGCGGTTCAAGATCACTCTCTATTCCAAATGATACCAAGTCCTCTCCAAGAACTCCACTGCTTGAGCTCATCTCAGCATACTGCCTCTCGTAAGTGCACTGTTTGTCATCAGCATCACAGGTACAGTCTGTACGGCATCTTACTGGCTCGTATGTGCTTGACATATCAGGTTGAAACCTTGGATCCTAGACAATAATCATATTCATGAAGAAGACGCTCTTCAATTCATATTTTTCTAGAAATTCAAAACCCTAAATGGCCGGTTCTAGTTTCATCGACACCAACATCAAATATTTCATTTGATATTGTTATAGTAGAGACAGGAGAGAGAACAAACAAAGCAGCGTACCTGGTGATTGCCGCACTGCTCACAGGAGGAGCAAGGAACATAAGTGACGGTGCTCCCCGTATCGACGATTAGGGCAAATTTTTGGGGAGGAGTACCGATCATTAATCTAGTCGTATAATACCTGAACGTATTAAACGGATCCAAAATGTAGATCATCCTTCGGATCTGAAACACCTAAAAGACTGGAAGAGGCGGATATCAAACACGTACCCGTTGGTGAGAAGATCATCGTAGAGCCTCATGTGCGCGTTGGCTACAGACGAAGACTTCTCCTGCAGTTCCCGTCGGTGGGAATAAATCGCTGGAAAAGGCGGAAACGATCGCCGCGTGGTGTTGAGAGGCGAGAAGAAGAGTGGAAGAACCATCGCCGCCGGCGTTCCAGCCATGGAGACGGGAAGGATTTGAGTTTGAGATATTCCAATCGCTGCTTCTCCGGCAAGAGGAAGTAGAAGAAGAGAAGCGAGAAGCGATACAGCGAGGGTCATCATTTCCTCCCCCAACTTTATCTCTCGCTCGATTTCCAGAAATCGCCGGCGGAGGATTTTTCCAACTTCCGGCACTTGATTTCCCATATTTATATTCTTCTAGCTATCTGCCTGATCCCGCCAATGTCTAAGTGTAGGTTGTAGCCGACAATGTAGCGGTAGTTTGCCGCGCCGGGTCGAGTGTCGACAAGCAGAACGGCTACGCGGACAGCTACATACTAAACATCGGGTCGCGGATTTGGAATCTGCATATTCTCAGTTCAACTAAACGTGCTTCCCACTTAGCATCGAATCGTTTGATTTTTATATCCATTAACGCAGTTTGAAGTTATAGCTATTGAAGCTTTCTCGCTACCGCATACGTGGCTTTTCTTATATGTAAAGGAGATGGCGACCTAAGATCATTTCCAATCCAATTTCACATCATTATATGTAGTCTGTGAATCGCTCCATTCAAACTTCAAGTCCCACGTCAAAAATAGGTAGGTAAACATAGCGATGCCAATATTGATGTTTGACTGTTCACCTAAGCCAAAAAAAGTGATTACCTTCTCATTCTTCATAGTTTTGCATGAAGCACATGAAACATGAGAGAGATGGTTACATTAGCAAAGAAGCGCGCGAAAAAAGAAAAATGAAATTTCATTGGAGATGAATTATCACGTTTTGAAGTTTTACGACATTTTAGAATGGAAAAAGTGATTTACGGTTGGAGATGCCCTAGCTGTAAAACTCATTTTATGCTTCAAAATATTGTAATTGTTCTCCAATTAAATTCTATTTCATAACATCAAAAAAGAATATTCTGAATATATTTTTCTCCAACCTAAGAAAATAGCATTTGTGAATAGGTGTGGCATTGTTCATCATAAGAAAATACCTCTGAATTTAACGTTCAGGTGGAGCTCGTTGTGGCTGCAAACGCTCCTTTGGCGTTCAGCTCGAAATGGCCTAATCACCACTACCAAAGCAATTCCTTCACAAGCTTCTTCATTGCATGTGAGAGAGACGGTGGTTTGATTGAACTAATAAATAAAGATCTTTTTGGGACCTCTTTAGCATTTTCAAAGATTATCGTAAAACTGTGATGAGAAAAGTAATTTTTTTAATTGTTATAAAAGGCAGCTTTCTAGAATAAAAATTTAATAATAATGATAATTTGATGGTTATGTATTGAATAAAGATAATTTTAATTTCTTGTCAATTCAAGAGGTCTTGAACTCGATAAATTATTCTGTGCGGACATCGGATGTGGCTTTGTGTTCGAAGGCGAATCAGAGCTCGCCATGTCACTCGGTACACAACAGCTACACAGCAAGGAGGTGACGTGTCATGCTCTGATTTGCCTCTGAACAACGACCGGTGTCAGCACATAATAATTAATTGTTGAACTCCCACAAAGGTATTTGTATAACTTCACTAATATATAATCGATGTAAAATAATAAATCCCAAAAATAAGATAGCTATATTGAACTTTAAAAATCTTTGAGAGTTTTTATTATTTTTAAAAAGAATGAACTTTAAAAATAAAAAATCTTCATGATTATAAACTAACGTCTAACCTATTGTGATTATCCTCTTATAAGCCAAAAAATATTAACAAATAGCACTAATATAGAATAATATCCTTATGTAAATAATATTACTATTTAAATAATAACCAATTTTTCCTCTAATTAATTAGCGGGATATTTGGATCATTTGATTTAGATATAGTTACCGAGATAACACTATTCTCTAAATAATAACCAAACAAATCATTAAACTAAATTGTAGAAATTTTCAATTTTTAGCTTCCTTGAGAAAAAATTAGCTTTTAAATGCCATAATTTTACGTTTAGATAAGAATAATTTAAAAAAATATTTTGATTATCAATTTGATCATTTTTTTATTATATTCTCTTCCCCACACGCCCTTCACCACCACTTCATCAAGTTTGTCATGGAATCCTCATTAGGATAGCCGTAGAGGGGGGTTCAATGGTGACAGCCTGACAGGTAAAGTATAAATCTTAAACAGATTGAGGCTTTATTAGGATTAATTACTTTAAAAAAAATCGTGTCCAATAAAATCTAAGGCAATAATGAAATCGAAATTATAAAGTTCTATTTAAATATTTTACATTATAAAAATTTAGTTCAGGACCTGCTAGTTAAATGTAAAAATAAAATCCTTTATATCAGAAAAAAAATAATAATAAATAATAATAATAAAACATTCACAATCTTGGCATGGAAATTGGAACGGCTTTCTTCTGGCTGCTTAAAACTTTTTTTTAGTACAAAAATTAAATTTTTTGTTCTAAAAAAATATTAAAAATAATAAAAAATTATCCAAAATGAAAATTTATTTAATCTGTAATCAGGGCTTTGCAACTTTCCTGAAAGCGTCTTTATGAATGATGGCATCTGTCCGCATGGCTGAGCTTCCAAACCTGTTAGGCAAAAAGTCGCGACGCACCAAATGGCATCCGGTGGGAGGACAAAATGGGGTAAAAACCCAATCATACTGTTTCTTTTCTTTAACTTTCTGGCGTATGTTTAACATTTTTTTTTATAATTTATGTTTTATGTTTTTACCTTTAAATTTTAAAATATATATATTTGATGAGTATTTTGCAATTTTTTTTTTTATTTTGGGAACAAAATAATTTTTTAGAGTTTTATTATTTTTAAAATGCGAAACTTAAAAAATCTTCATGATTATATTTTCTAGAATAATTTAATATTTCTTTTTGTGACTCATCATCATAGTATTATTAAGCATATTTTCTATAACTAGTGCAAGCAGTAGGAAGAGAATTCTAGGACTTGGAACCTTTAACCTTTTCACTCTTCTAGAATAGGGATAGGTAATTGGTGGTATCCTCATCCTTGGGCCATTTAGATAATGTTGAAAAGAGTCTTATGCTTCATTTTAGACAATTTTTTTCTGTTTTTTAAAATAATTTTTTAATATAAAAGTTTTTAATTCAAAAAAAAAATATACTAAAAAAAATTCTTTAAAAAATAATAAGAAAACTATAACAAATAAATCCTTATAAAAAGACAGGAGTTTATAGACATCAGGTTTTAATCAAAAAAATTTATAGTTTTTAATCCTTCAGAGATCATATGAATAAAATTTTCTTCTCAAATGTATTTTTATATATGAAGAAAATTTTCCTTCTTCTCAAATATATGTTTATGGTAGATTGATGAACTACTCTAAAGATTGAATCTTTGAGGTGTCTAAAAAGGAATGCACATGTGTAATTTCTTCATATTGCTCTTTTTTTATTCATATGATTTTTCATTGATCTTTGTCCATAGAATCTTGTATTTCATGTTATTGAACTTTTTTACTTGGAGTTTCATTCTTTTTTACTATGTGAATATGTGTATAATGATATATTAATTTGATTGATTATGGATTCATGATATTGTGTTCACAACCACTACATGGGGAGAACTTATTTTGTGCGGACATCGAACGCAGTTTACCGCCTGAAGACCAACAAGAATATGCCACGTCAGCAGTACCGTGCCGAGTACCACGTGGTACCGAGCAGTACCGAGCCGGGTACCGAGCATGGGGTGACGTGGCGCATTCTGGTTGGTCTCTTGATGACGTTCGACGTTCGCACATAATGTAGAAATTCTAGATGGATGGCTTATGTGACATGGATGGTTTATTATTTGATAAATGTTATGCATGTATCTCTAGGCATGAATTCGATGGTTTACACAAAGTAGCACAACACATGAATTTTCATATCATGCTTGTAGTGATCTTGCAATGTTGCCTACATGTGATGCATGATACATAACACTTAGAGAGTTCCTATGGAAATGGCATACATGCAATTTATTAACAAAATATAAATTTGCCAAAAGGCCCCCTAAATAATCTCTTGGTCTAATCTTTCGCAAGTATAATCCATGAAATCACACATGCAGTCATGCACCCTATTAGAAATAGAGAACCATATAAACTGCATTACGATTCTATCTGCAACCTTACTGAGAGCAACAAAGGATTGAATTATTTAACAAAACAGAGATGAGATCTGATTACCTACACAAAAATAATGCCGTTCTCTTTTATAGTATCAAGGACAATGCCAAGTTTGCCTTCAATTCTCTCGTTTTTCTTTGGTTCGAATGCCATAGCAAATACATCGGCTTCCTTAGATCTTTCAGCAATCAATTGCCCAATTGTTCTGCAAGCGTCGTAATCAGTGAGGGACGGCAATGTGTTCCTGAGATCCTTTGCATTTGTGCTTGCGACAGAGACCACCTTGCTTGTGCCCCTGTGCATTACTTTGGCATGTATAAATCTTTTGGAGAAGAAGACATTCAGGAGGAATGGCCGCATGTACATGTCAGTTCTTTGCCTCCATGATTTTCTATTAGGTTTCTTTGCAGCCTCACCTCGAGATCTGCGTGTCCAAGCAGCTTGAACAACACCAATCTGTAGCTATTGGCAATGTTATATCATATGGAAATAGCATGGTCATTGAGGAAAATAAAGACAGAAAAGGTAAATTTTTTATCAATTGAATAGATGCTCTATTAGCTTCCTAATTATTCTTAACATTCTAAACAATTCCGGAGCTTTGGATTAGGGCATTTCCAACTGAACGTCAAACGATCGTTTGCAGTCACCGCGAGCTCCAACAGAATGCCAGATTCAGTAGCATTTTGCGCGAGATGAATAGTGCGACACCTTTTTTTCGCCATTTCTTTCTTTCAGTTGGACTTGATGTTATGAAATGAAGTTCGATTGTAGATGAATTACTATAGTTTAAAGTATTACTATATTTTGAAGTGTAAAATAAATTTTTTGGTTGTAGATGATCTTAGCATCCTATGGGTGATGATAATCAACCAACTAGCAAACTTGTAACTGGTATAATTTACATATTACTATCAACTCACGTGTTTGTCTTATATTTGAACGAAGGTTTCTTACCAGAAAAAGTAAAGAGTAAGTTGTATCAGTAATTATTAGATATAGAACATACCTTTCTTTCATCCAACTATTATAAAAATTTTTAAGTAAACCAGACGAACTAAACTAACAGACGAGAAGAGATGCATCAAATTAGTAGCAGATTTGAATTCAAAGAAGTAAATATAGCATATGGAACAAATCACATTTTTTTGCAGCTCAATAATCAAAGCTTTTAGAAAGAAACTAAATTATACCAAGACAGTTAAACTAATTTTTAAATAACAAACTAAAATCCATCAGTAAAAATAAATGAAAATCTTTGTGTTTATTCCAAACAGACTTGCCGCATTAAACATTGACATCAATGCAGTTTATTTATTTATTTATTTTCATTACTTGGTATATGATTTATGTATTCAAGAACATGTTCGTGATTATTGTTGAGATATTTTATATTTTATTTCCTAAACCTAGGTTGATTACTAAGGTTTGGTATAAACTACTGATTCGGTTCACATTAATTTCCACTACGGTTTATTCTAATTTGGAGGCATAAATTGTTGAAGGTTCAGTTGGAATTCCATTCCTGATGGTGGAATTACTGGATTATTGTGGAATAGTTGGCGAGCATGTTTTCTTTTATGGTGTTTAGGCAGTGGAATTTGGAATCATAGGTGGCTGCTCTTAATACTTAAATGGTTAGTATATAAGCATGAATTTTGAATTAAGGGCTACTTAGCTTTATATGTTCTACAAAGAAAGAAAGGTGGCTTTTTGTTGCTGTATATGGCTTATGCGAAGCTTTGGGTGAAGGAATCATAGAGTTATTTGAGATATTTGGTTTGACATTTCTGTGGATTAATTCGTACGAGTTTGACGTAACAGGTTCCAGGAGATTTTGCTTCCTGCAGGTGGGTTATAATTTGTGTATGGTAATTTGATCATATGTGATTTGTGGTAGTAATGTTCCGGGGAAATACGAGATTTTGTGTATGAATTACGGAATGCCACCGGCTGACGGTGTTATTTACAAGTAAATTGGAAATTCCTTTAGAAAATAATTTAAACAACGCTTGCGATTTGATCCTATGCACCTTATCTATCGACTAGATTTTGAAGAACATATAAATAGTTAGTTTGATATATATAATTGACAATTTTGACTTAGATTAAGTTTCTATTTTCAGTTTTAATCTTGTGAATAATTGGATGTGCAATTTTTGAAAGTGCAGTATAATTAAAATTATTTAATTTCCGGGAAAATTATCTACTTGTATTGAAGTGAACTTGATTTTTCTTATTTTGGCATTTTGTTCATCGTTCTACTTCATCTATTTTATTTGAGATTGATATGCCTTGGTATCCAAAAACAGCCAATGAACCAATACAAATTCAACAAACAGCAGGTTTTTTTTTAAACAAGAAAATATGCAAAAGCAAGATACAATAGTCCTCTTTCAAGAGGAGTACCGTCTCTCCGAAACCCTACACGCCACTAGGATCCCTCACAAAAATAGTAGACAGCAAATACTTACAAAATTCCATATACAAAACAGAACATAAATCCTACTACTTATAACAAATAATAAATAACAAATTCCAAAATAGCCCTCCCCCAATTCTCTCTCAAATCACCCCCTAAATCTGTCCTCTCCAATTAGAAAACATCTCATAATTAATCCCCTCCAAATCAGCCCCCAAATCAACCCCCTAAATCTGCCCTTAATTAGGAAACATCCCTTAATTAATCCCCTCCAAATCAGCACCAAATATGCCCTCTTCAATTAAAAAATATTTCCTAATTAATCTCCTTTAAATTAGCCCCCAAATAAGCTCTCTTCAATTAGAAAAAATCTTTTAATTAAAACCTTTTGATTAAGAACTTTCCTAAACAGCTTCATCTTGATTAGGAAACTTCCTAATTCTCTCTCAATCAAATCGGTCAGTCCATCAGTAATACCCTCCCAAAGTGTCACATTGTCCTCAAAGTGGAACAAAGAAAACTGTTGTTGAAGCACTGGACTGAAAAATTGACTGTCATTAGGTCGACTAATCCCCGTCTCCAACATCTCCCTAATCAATCTCTAGATCTCATCCTTTTGGAGTTGGGGAGAATGGCGGTGAAAAACAATAATATGTGAAACTCATTCCTTCAAAATGATAGATACTCAAGTTACCGCGAAGGAGACAACCTCTGAACTGGCTTTAACACCTCTCGATATTGTTGTAGGAGTGGTTGAACCATGTCTGGTATCTTCTCCCTATATTCTTCCCTGGTATGAACCATGATTTTCAAATAAGCCATTGCTTTGGATAAGATGTGGTCTCCCTTAATTATCACTTTTTTTCCCTCCACCTGAATCTCCATGGTCAATGCCTTCCAGTTCAAATTGGCCTCCCCCAAAGTTTGTAGTCATTTCATTCCCAAAATCAAATCAGTACTTTACAACTCTAATGAAAGGAAATCCTCCCTAATGTGAATCCCTTGCAACTCTACCTCCAAATCCTGACATTTTCCTCTGCTCTATGATGCACCGACACTTCTCCTCACTTCTCCTCAAAGAGGCGTGCAGCGTCTGATACGACACGCATCCGACACTCCTCCGACACGTGTCGGATACGTCAAAAATGTGTCTGATTAAAAAAAATTAAATACAAATTGGACACGTATCTTAAATATTTTATTATTTTTTAAAATATATTTTATTGCATTTAAATTTTTACTTATTTAAAATATAAAACTAAATTTCTTTTTTCTTATCCACAAAACCAAATCAATCGCCCGCACTCAATACCTCATTCATCGAATATTCTCATTTTCATTTCTCTTTGGCGGGTTACGACTTTGATTTCACAATAATGTTCGATGTCATCTCAACATCGACATATGACGTCGTTACAACATCAACATTTCAAAGCAATCTTCATATTAAAGTTTGATACTGTCTTGACATTGATGCTCAACGCTAGCAATTTCTACACCCACAACTTGACATCTCATCTTTGTCTGACATCTTCTCAACATAAACGATAAACACCCTCTTAACATTGACGCCTGCTATTTACTACATAACATTGATGTCTGACTGTCGACAGCATTGCCATCTCCTCTCTTAATGACTGATAAACGACATCAACACCCAACTCTCAACATCTTAATATTAATCATTTAAAGCACAAATTCTAATTAAATGACTTATTATTTTTAAATTATTTTTAATATAATGCTTACTTGATTTTTATACATTATTTTTTAAATATAAACTATAATATCGTGTTCAACTCGTGTCTGTGTCATAAATTTTCAATAATTGACGTGCCCTATGTCCGTGTCGTATCGTATATGTGTCGCCTCATAGCCTCTTCTCTTCTATATCTTTCTTGTGCTCATCATCACTCCAAATCCTCCCGTCTACCAATGTCAGCCCCAGTTTATCTACCACCTAGTTCAATATGAAATTATAGGTAGTCCCACTGTCCACCAGAATTATCACCGCCTCTCCTCCTATATATCCCCTCACTTTCCTAGTGTGATTTGGGATGAATCCCACCACGTTCAATGAAACTTCAACCACCTCCAAATGCACAGACCCCTCTTCCTCTTCTTCCTTGCTCGTTGCCTCTGCCTCGTCCACCTCCTCATCACACACAATGAGAACCTGCAAGGTGCGATTTTTACACTTATGCCTTGGTGTAAAGTTCTTGTCGCATCTGAAACATAGCCCCTTAGCTCTCTTGTCTTGCAATTCAGTATCAGTCAGCCTCTTGAAATCCTCTCCCGGACTAACTCCTGAGCTTCCCTCCTTTGGAATCTCCCTTTTAACTAGTATAGTCTGCATCCTAGGTGCCAAGAAGTGGTCTCGTGAAGTAAAAACCTCCTCCATTGACCCCTTTATTACTCTTTTGTAGTAATTTCTTGTTTTCAATCATTTGAGTCAACTCCATCACCTCTCCCAAGTCACGAGGCCTTGCTACTCGCACTGCTGCCCTCAACTCTGGTTTGAGGCCTTTCATGAAATTGCTTTCCAACATTGTCTTTGACAACCCCCCTGCTCGTCCAGCTAGAAGTTCAATTTTTTCCCGATACTCCATCACAGTGTCGACCTCTGTCAATGCAAATAATTGCTCATAAATAATTCCCACCCTGCTGAGCTCGAAAGCGCTCCAAAAAACACTCCTTAAACTCCTCCCATGAACGCATTGGGTACGTTGTTTCTCTCCAGTAGTATAATCATAGTGCCTTCCATTCAAGACAGAGCAACGGCCATCAGTCTCTCATCTTTTGTCAACTCATTCACTACAAAGTATATCTTCACCCTATATATCCACCCATGCACTTCTTCCCCTTCAAATACAAGCATTTTTAGCTTCCTAAGCTTTTGATCTCCCCTACCCCAATGTCCCCTTACACCCCCATGCCTCCCATGAAGTAAGCATGGGGGGCTCTCCACAGTTCCCTCTCCTCTCTTCTCCACTCATATTTCCTCCTTCCTCCAAATTCAACCCACATGTTCTCT